CGCCTGTTTTAATTACCTTTATTACACAGCGAATTGCTCGGCATGTACAGGTGTGACGGGGAATTCCCCATGCAATTAACAATGACTGCGGTGATATGAACAAGGTGTTATGACGTAAGGAACAAGGTCCGCCTCTAAAGATAGAGTGTATATCTCTGGCGAGTGGTCTGTATGTTGATCGAAACCGTGAGATATACACACAACGGGTGTATTCCTAACTGTAAATTGACAAAATCCTGAGGCAAATATGTGAGAGTATATTTGACAGGAACATCATGTATAGTTTTACAATGTAGTATACAGTAACTACGTTTATCACGAATGCGCTGATAACCTACGGATATAACGAATTGGTTTGTTACTTTTTTTATTATATTTTTCATTTATTGAATATTTACTTTTCTATTTCTTTATTTTTTCTGGGGGTGGAGGTCGGGGTGTTATTATTATCATTGGGGGGTGGGGCGTTTCTTATGTAACAAACGAACTGGTGTATCTCGTTTTCTTTATTGTCGGTTGTTTGTTGGTTTGTTTGGTTTTTGGGGGTTGTTTTTGTTTTATTTATTTATTTGTTTTTATTTTTGGTATATATATTTTTTTTGTTTTTTTTTGTTTTATTTTTTTTGGTTTTGGGGGTAATAACGAAACAGAATTAGTGATTCCTTTGAGTTCGACATATCCATAGTTTTCTGCATTTGGATGCTTGAGGGCGAGCTAGATAATGATGGGTATTAACAGGGAGACTATATAAGGGCCTGTTGTAGAGTAACCCTGGTATTAAGTATACCTTATTTAACCAGAGTGCAGGTCCTATGGTTAAACAGTTCTAGAAGATGTTGGTGTCGCGGACGAATGTTGTCTAACCACTGAGCAATTCATACTCACACTTTATGTATTTGTAGTCTGTAAAGCGAGTGACACTCTAATAGAATATTCTTCTTCAAAGTTCCTATATCTTCGACAGGAATGTACGAATACATACTATGCTGGTAGTCTCCCACATTGAGACTATCACCAATAGCTTACCTAGCCACTGGGAACTTTTATAGAGGAATACTTGGTTTTTTTTGTAGTACATGATTTGACTGTGCTACGTTCTAGTGTTCAAGTTTTCAAGTAAAGTATGACGGCAACACTCCTTCATATCCCTGACGAAGCAGTATGATTTCGTGACTACAGTCAAGTAGGCTGCACGCGCTTGAATGTCAAGGACACATGGCATAACCCAGTATACTTGCTCTAAACTGTACCCCTTTACTATGACCCTCACTCCCACTCTTATTCCCGTCCTGCGACCCAACCCCAGCATTTTACGACACTATCTCTCTTCTTCCCCCCTCCCCCTAATACTAGTTGGTTCCTATTGGTATGTGGGGGGCAACTCATTTAGCTATATGTGTTTTTTAATAATAATAATGCTCTTATGTATCTTATGTACACCCAATTCAGATTACATTGCGATTAATGATTAATTTCCACCACCCTGCCCTGCGATTTAACTCTATATACACCCCCAACTCGGCTGTACCCCCATTCCTTCCCCCGTCACCCCCACATGTTGTGCCGCGCCGGCTCCCCCCTTGCTTCCGAACCCAACCTCCCTCCCAAACATGTCAACGCATAACAATTCCTGCCTTTTGTCTTAGCAAACCTCGTAAGTACTTGTAGCGTCACGAAATAGTCATTTCCAGATAAGACTGTGTACCAGGAAGGCGAGGCCGGTCCCTTACATACCTGTGTGTCCTCAGCTGAGCCAGCGGTCTATCATTGCCGCTCGTATATACCCACATATACCCTCCTCCGAGTCAAGGGCGTGAGTCGGCACATTTTTGTCTGTTCCGCGTGTCAAGTGCAGGGGGCACCTGCTTCGTTACGGTGGAATCAGTCTCGGACGTCTTAATAAATGGATGAGTCCGGCCCTGTCTTCGTCACATATTCATTATTTGATTTAATTTATCAAAGTTGTTAAGACGCATTGTGGGATTTATCAACGGAGTTTAACTGTGTGATGCCGTCTGATTAAAATTGATTACTAGTATTTAAAAATGTAACTGCATCTTCTCATTTTTTCTTTTCTTTTATGCATATTTCTCAATTCGAGTATGGGTATTCTGAAAACATAAATACAAAAACATGTATCTTTGAAGTTATTTCAATCTCTGAAGTGTTCTCGATTTCAATTTTATCGTAAACTGAAGTTTCTAGAAACCTTTCTTCACGATACATTGTATTGAGAAGGGGGGATATGATATGCTCTGATGATCCCTGATTCAAGGTATAGCAATACATGTATAAAGCGTTACTAGCTTCAGTGATAATCAGCTGTGTTTTGATACACACAATCATGGCTCCGGGCCAACACAGCTTCATGGATCCATTCAGCCGGTGCGTGTTACTATAAAAACCTAACGGTGCCATATTGGTAGTATAACTTTGTGTTAAGTCGAAACTTTTTAGTTATTTCAATTATTCGTTTATCTCTTTCGAAATTTGAAGGGTTTTTTCTCGCTACTCTCTATATTTTTCTCGCTTTCGATTATTTTGTGTTTATTTAAAGTCTATTTAAAAGTCAAAATTTCGAGAAAATGATTGGAATAAGGATTTCTGCTCATTTAATGCGTTCAAAGTGGCACCATTAGGCTTTCGGATGTTACAAGGAAATTCTGACCACTGTTTAGTAACGGGGGGGACTGGAAGAATGCGCATCTAAGCGAAAGCCTATATTTGCACGGAATTACACAGATATATGCCAAAATGTTAAAATATACTTTAACATGTATGTGCTGTTTGTTCTTGAAAAATATACCAACAAGAGACATCCAATTTTGTTGCAGTATGAAATCAATACGCAGCCTATAGATATAAAGAGATAACGAAAATATATTTTTCGCAGACGCCATACCTCAACACACGGGTCCAAACCATGCTTGACGTAAGACTAACGTGATCAGGCGGTCAGAGTCACAAGAGCGCCATATTCGACTTACCGAAGTCGAGTTCTTCAGGGGATATATAAAATAACCACGGGCACGACACGACCTGCTCTCTTATATGTTACATATAGGGCGGTGGGGGAAGCCCAATGGTTAAAGCGTTCGCTCGCCACGCCGAAAACCCGGGTTCGATTCCCCACATGGGTACAATGTGTGAAGCCCATTTCAGGTGTCAGTACAACTGGTGTCAGTACAACTGGTGACAGTACAACTAGTACAACTGAACCATTTTGTAGGCGCTTTGGTCTGTTCGCGCATATATTCTCTGTGCACGTGACTTGTTCAACGTATGGAACGTATATATGTGCTTCTGCTTTCAAGAAAATAGTCGCAGAGAGTGCATGGGAATTGTGTCCTGCATTAATCGGATGATAACCCACAAACTGCGTCTTATCACGAGTGCTTGTCGCAAGCTTTATACACAAGTCTATACGCCAAATGTGTTTCTTGCACCCTTGATCTGTTTACATATCGACATTGAGCGCTGGGTTTGCACCATATAGCAAAATCAAAACACAATTAAAATGCTTATTGTATCTTGTCTTATATTTTACCACAGACTCAGAACACATAAGATACAGCTAGCCACGTGGTCTATAAAGACTCATATACTCATGCACGATATTTACGCAACTCGGTAAATTCCTGGTGCGTTAGACAGGCGGGCACTTTGACCGATAAGCATGAATTAGAATAAATCTGATTACCTCTCTAACGCTAAATATCACGTGACATGGCTATCTCTTGGTCCCGATCCAGTGTCACATGTCACTGCATGTTTTTGAAAGTGTTGAAATTGCAAAGAAGTCCCATTGAGTTGGTAGATTCAGAACCTGAGCTTGCGTCAATCGAAACTTGCGTCATTTAGCTTTATTATGTCAGAAAGGGATATGGACGGAAAGTAAAATAATGCGGTGCGGGGACAGTGAGACGGACTCACATGATCAGTACTAGTTCTTCTGTCAATGTACGTTCAGTTTCATCATCCTTTAGAAAATAATGAGGTTTTACTCCCTATCTTTATTAAAGAATTTACGGTAACCTGATAGCAAAAATATGTCAGTTTTTTTCTTGTTCAAATATGTTTCCAATGAATCAATAGAAGATAACCTTAAACTTTCTCATGTTTACACACGAAGCAATGCCTTCATATTTACATTATAATTTTTAAAAGGGGGGTAAGAAACTATCACTAAAGCAGTTAAGGGGTTTTTAGTTAAGCATAGACGAAGTCAATCATGCTTAATTGCCGCCTCCTTTATGTGCAAGCACGCGTCCATGAATGGATAACGTTAGATTTGAGATGGTTTCAGGGTTGAACAATCTGATCCCCATCTCAACAAGTGAAAGTCACAACATATATGTCACTGACCCGCGAGAGCCGGTAAATGCAAATATGCTAGAACGAAAATGATGGAATACATTTAGTTTATCAACACCGTCTGATATACATTACTGAACAAACAAACAGGGACAGGTTGGCGACACACATGTACCTCAACACATGTGACTGGCGCGGCACAAGGCCATGGTGTGATGGTGTGAGGCGGTGAAAAGGCGTTACAAGATTGGGGGTGGGGGTGGGGTGGTGATCACAGTCTTGTGTCGCTTCATACTGTAGAAGTTGTCGCTTGATAAGTATTGTCACAACGAGTGAATATTTGGCGACTCTGGTATACAATACACATTTCTCGACGTATAACGTCTGACAGTTCTCTTGACAGTGTTATACGTGCGATTATTTTGCTTATCTTCGACATTTTTAACACCAAAAAAAAGAGACTCTGAGTGCCTGTCATAATTAGAACTAAATCTTGTAATATTGGTCGCAGTTTCGACTTGGAAAGTTATCTTGAAGCTGATTACCAACACGCGTTTATCGTAGACGAAGTTCGGTTGTAAATTTCAGCACCCGTTATCTCTTTGCCACGCCCCTAGCTTCAGAACAAAGGGGCGTGTCTAATAATGATTTGCATATCTATCAGACACGTGAACAGGACAAAACGCATGCGCGAAGAAGGACTAGTAGCAGAAGATATCTTTACGTTGAGTTCAGAGCTGCGATGATTAGGGGGTGTCAGCCTTTCAAAATGGATCTTCGGGAGGACAAGGAACTGCCACAGGGAGTTGCTGGCGCCCCTAATGAAGAAGCGCTTCTGGCTTTAATGGAGAAGTCAGGTTATACAATGTTGCAAGAGAACGGACAGAGAAAGTACGGTGGGCCACCCCCTGAATGGGACGGGCCGTCTCCACCCAGGGGTTGTGAAATTTTCATCGGTAAAATACCCAGGGATTGCTACGAGGATGAACTTGTACCGGTCTTTGAAAAGATCGGTAAACTGTATGAGTTTAGGCTTATGATGGATTTTTCTGGATCTAATAGGGGCTACGCTTTTGCCATGTACACGAGAAAGCAAGAGGCCCAACGCGCTGTCAAAGAACTGAACAACTTCGAAATCAGGAAAGGTCGTCTGCTTGGAGTATGTTCAAGTGTAGACAATTGCAGACTTTTTGTAGGAGGAATTCCAAAAATGAAACAGAGAGATGAAATTCTCCAGGAAATGAGGAAAGTGACTGAAGGTGTTGTGGATGTGATTGTGTATCCTAGTGCTATGGATAAAACGAAGAACAGGGGATTTGCCTTCGTAGAATACGAGAGCCACAGAGCCGCTGCTATGGCTCGACGAAAGTTGATTCCTGGAAGGATACAATTATGGGGACACCAAATAGCTGTTGATTGGGCCGAACCAGAACAAGAAGTAGACGAGGATATTATGTCCACAGTAAGTTCATGTTATCTTAATATTTGGGGCATGGTATATTGGGAATGGTGGAGTGTTCAATCAGAATCTGTTACACCTTTGGTCCGTAGGTCATTGTGACCCAGTTATGTCTCTCTCAATTCTACAGTCTATTAGCCTACATGTTACGTTTAGGGGGCTGAAAATATAGAAACCTCCTTTCAAATGGTTAACCTTGACTCCTATATTTTGCCAGTTTCATTTTCATTAAAAAACAACAAATTTAATTGACATAAATTTACAAAATAGATTTAGAGCTGTTAGTGAATAGGTGGTGAAAGATGTACCAAATGATTGCAAAGTAACAATAGACCTACATATTTGTTAAGGTTAATCTAATTTGTTTCAGTCTAGATCCAGATATAAAAAGCTGTATATAAATTAGGAGCAAATTAGAATGACAAAGAATGTCATTTAGTTGATCTTAGACAACTTACAACTAATTGCATGCCCACCACCTATAGCTCAGTATTCTTTGGATAGTCATCATCTTCACCACAATCATAACAGTGACAGGCACAGACCAGAAGTACCAGAAGTAGGACTAGAACTAGTTCAATATTTGATATTGACTGTTGTAATACACATTTAGAACAATCACAATGCAGTACACAATAAACTAAACAATAAACAGATACTTTACTGAATAATTTCAAATTATGTCTGACAGAACAGAAATTATTCTGCTGAAGTGCTTCTTATGAAAGGATATACTTTGTACAGTTAGCAGTATTTCAGACAGTTTTAAAAGAAGCATTAATGATTAAAGTCTAAGGACTATAACCATATTGTTAATAGTGGAAACTCGAGGGTGTCCATGGTTTAAATAAATGGTAGAGACATTTGGGATGACAGCCAGTGACCATGCATTAAATAAGAAACTTATCTATATAGCCTTAAGAGCTGCAAACGTCAAGGACTTTGGAACATTTTATGAATTTCAAGAGAGAGACTGAAAATAGGAGCCAAAGAGCTTTATTTTAGTTTGTTTTGCCGGAGGCACTTTAGTTGGTTCTTTTATGTTCTTCCATAACAAAACTATCAGAAATATTACTACTGTGGTCTAGTTGTATATGACCATTTCCTTGTCCTGGTTTCTGAAAATTTCTGATTCAGAGGATCAAACTTGCATAACCAGCTTGAACCTATGTACACTTTGGAAGCAGTGCCCGGAAGCAGCTCTGTTGTTTTGCAAAATCTTTTACAAAACCATAATGTCAGTAGTATGTGACAAGCAATGTGACATCAAGTCTTTTGTAATCTGATTAAATATCGAGTTGTACTTTGGTCTCAATTTGTGGCCTCTGTAGTTTTATCTCCAGGGTCTAGTCATTTATTACAGGTTAAGAGAGAGTGTTCTGTGGGATTTTGGACTGTATCATATGTTGCTACCCAATAACCTGGTCATAGTGTGTGCAAAGTTTCACATATGATCACAAATCAGGGCAAACACAGGGCAGACAGATAATCTAATCACTACCAACCCACATATTATATACAGGGGCAGGGAGGAGGGACATTAAATTACCAATCTCTTTGAAGCAAAGGGACACGAGTGTGAACCCCCATAAATTGCCTGAAATTGAACTGGACTAGCCCTCAGGATCTTTTACATTGTACACACTGAAATGAGTCGGTCAGCTGCCAGTGTGCTTGTGATATGTTTTAATACCTGCTAGCATCAGGGATTTTTTTTGTAGAGACAGCAGGGCATATTCATGATTTTAGTGAATTTGATGAGGATTTTTTCTGTTTTATTTACCCAAACTGAAAGTATCTAGGACATTTCGGTATCATAGAAAATTCACTGGTCTAAGACCCACTGTTTTATGAAGTCATCTTTTTTTCTTCAGAATTAACTTTAATATGATTTAAAAACATTCAAAAGACCGGCAGAAACACAAGTGTTGCTTTAAAGTAAAAGGATACTGGTCAGGGTCACTCTCCTATCGTTCATGTATTATATGATATGAAGCAGGCACTATGACTGACGTTACAATTAACATTCTACATTCATATCATTGTTATGGTGACAGTGTTCACGAATGGTGTTTTAAAGCAACAGGACATTGGGGTCATGTAAGTTTCAGATGTCTGTCTGACACACTGAAAATTCACAGGACCCATAGAAAAAAATTAATCACACCTTTCAGATTTAACATTTCTTATAATTGGCATTGCAATTATTAACAAACATAAGATTTAAACAGCAAACAAGTGTCACATGTCACATATAACAACTTCAGTCAAAGTCATTGTGAAATATACAGTCAGACACTGGGGCCGGCGGGTTGTAGACTTCTATCGGATCGTTGGTGAATCTGCTGGATTTGTCAGAGGGTCAGACGCTATTCGTAAACACTGTGATGAAAACAATGTCATAGTTATACTCAAAGTGCATTTTTTTACAGAAAGAGAGTTTGAAGTTTATTAAGGTCTTCTCAGAAATGTAGCATGTGGCCACAAGTAATCTATAATGTAGAGAACCACCATGTTTAAGCCCTTTGGTATCCATGGAACTTGTATTACTATGTTTTCAGATCTGTTTGTTATTTAGGTCAAGAACTGAAATATCATTTGAAGAATTTTTGATGTTGCAAACTTTATGAACAAGCATTGTGAAATGCCCTAATGATATTTATCCAAACAGAATCATGAAATACATTCTTTACTTGCCAGTATGTTGTAACAAAGAGAGAGTCAAAGTCTGCGATTATGCATTAGATGTCAATCGCTGTGCTTAGTATTCTAGGAGGAACACCTTGTAATCAGCATTTGACCAATAGTAATATCAATGTTTGAAACTTAAAATTTATGTTGTCGATAAGTTGATCATATGGTGCTTTTCTCAAATGCCTATACTGTATTTATTGACATGCGTACATCTTTACTCATGCATATGATATACATTTGTGAAAAGTTGTTTGGACCTAGTTAGTTCAGAGATGATGAAAAATATATTCACAGGTATATATGAAAATTTGCTCTGTGTAATTTGGTCATACATATCTTATTTGACCACTGAGAAGACATCTATGGCTACTGTTTTAGTTATTCCCGGTGGCACCAAATTTGTCCTCAGAAGTTTAGCACAGCAGATATCTTCTAACATATTTGTAAGATAAGATTTCTTCCATCTTGAGGTCAAATCGAACTGGAAGATGTACAAACCCAATTGCCTATGTTTGCAAAATGATATATATTCACCTTTTGTTGCAATGAGAAAATGCATTGGAATTTTACATTTACTAACGTACACTTACTCATGAGCAAATTAGCTTGTTGGAGTAATTTTTGGTGTTCTGGGTATTGAGGTTAAAAGTATTTGAACCCAGGGTAAATTACCAAAACATTCCTGAAATAGGACATATTTAATTCAGTTCTGTACTTTTTACTGCCATTTGATGTAAACTTCAATGAAAGTCTAGATAAGTCTGTTTTAACTGAATTTACCACATTTAGCATGTTTAGCGGACAGTAGCTTTCACTGACTGCAGCCAAATATTTGAGCCTGATTTGAAGTGAGTGAACAAATTTCATAGCCTGGTTTTCCTGTTATATTGTTAGTAATCTTCATAATGGTCACAAACAATAACTCATAATAACTTTTTCATGCATATTATTTGTAAACATGATATTTCCACATAACCAAAGCCAGTCAGTGAAGTCAGTCATCAACTGAATGGGTCCATCATGGCTGCAATTGGCAAATATAACACTAAAATATTACTCACTGATCAACGTTCTATGCGAGTTCTTTTTAAATAGGAGGTGAAGGATTACAGATGGTTGACCTGATCGGTGAAGTCGGTACCACTGTGTTAAGTAACAACAGTACATACAGTATGGTGTACAGTGTTCGCGAATAGCGTCTGACCCTCTGACAAATCCGGCAGATTTGCCAACGGTCCGATAGAAGTCTACAACCTGCCGGCCCCAGTGTCTGACTGTATATTTCACAATGACTTTGACTGAAGTTGTTATATGGGACATGTGACACCTGTTTGCTGTTTATAAATCTTATGTTTTTTTATAATTTCAGTGCCAATTATAAGAAATGCTAAATCTGAAATGTGTGTTTAATTTTATTCTATGGGTCCTGTGAATTTTCAATGGGTCAGACAGACATCTGAAACTTACAGGACCCAATGTCCTGTTACTTTGAAACACGATTCGTGAACACTGGGTGTACAGTCAGTGCCAAAAACCTTCCTGACAGGTGGCTAAAACGAACTTTCATGAACTTATTCAGTAGGCTTTTGTCAACAGATTGATTATTATATCCTCATGGAAACGAATAAGAGAACACATGAAAGAACAAGTGTTCCTTTATTTATTTCCAGAATTTTACCCACAGTGAAATACATACCTTTTGAAGAAACCTGGAAAAGAATAAAGGAACACTTGTACTTTCATGTGTTCCCTTATTTGTTTCCATGAGTTTATATGTCAGGGTTGAGACTGCGATCTGGTAGAATCAGAGATTCTACCAGTAGATATTGCGATCCGAGTCTCTACTGGTAGAATCTCCGATCCTACTGGAAGAGACTCTAATAATATAGAATAACCTATTCAATTGCAATCTCTACCAGTAGAAGCTCGAATCTGATCCTACTAGTAGAGATTGCAATCAGGGATAGAAATACTTTTTTTTCTAAGTGTGCCTTAGGGCACCAGACAAATATTTTAGGTGTGCCTTTCAGAAATTGAGTATGCCCACATGTTTTTAGAATAAATGACAATGATGATGATCATTTGAAATTTATTGTTAAATAAAGAAATTGGTTTATGAGCAGTCAAATATGCTGGTATTATTTAATTTGGAAAAAAAAAATTGTTTTGGGGATTAAATGACTAAATGTGAGTTATGTCTCTGAAAAATCAGGCGTGTCAAAAGGGCACCGAGAACATTTTTTAGCCGTACCATTTCAATAATTACCATGCCATGGCACATTAATATATAGGGTATTTCGAACCCTGGCAATCTAAGTGAATATTTAGGAAAACAAAATGTGCTGGTGTAATTGTTCATGGTGTCCTCCCAGGAATCCAGTCATTTCCCCACCTGGTCAATTCCTCACCTACCATTTCCCCACCCGGACAATACCCCACCCAATATATATCAGACCGGTCATTTCCCCACCTTCCTGTTTTTTTAAGTTGTTATTTCACTCAAATATAAGAATGAATGAACAAAAAAAGTGAATGAACAAGAAGTAGTGTAAAATACATTTCATTCTTTAATATTCAGGTCCCATCCGGGTTTAAGGAATGGCTTCCAAAGTACCGACAATACTTTTGTGTTGGACATTATAAATCTCTAAATATTTAGCACTTCATTTTTTGATCGATTAAACACATATATTTTAATGTAAAGTCTTGTGTCTCACTAAATGAAGGCTTTACTGATTTCTTTGAGTGTATGTATGGCATTTGACAGGACTGTCAGTTGAAAGATCAGCCGAGCGAAAGATTATGCCCCTTTCGTATTGTACCCATTATTGAGTCTGAACATCACTTCTGCTTAGAATGTGATTTTTATAATAATCTTCGTCAGGCCCTGCTCCCTAATCCTTAAATTTGTACTATTGTTGACATCTTATAATGCTTTTCTTCTTAATAATCTAACTAAATATGTATTTCTAGCTTTTAAGAAACATTCACAATTTCTCAACTGAATTGATGCAATGTGGTATTTTACCTTATTTTATCTCATCTCTTATACATCATGTTCTATGTATCTGTATAATGGGCCGGTGGACCCTTTACTGAAATAAACACAGTTTCACTGAAAACAGTCTAGTGTTATACCTGAATAAAATGCATGTTATTGTTCAGCAAATAAAGTGTCTTTGTTGTTTGCCCACAGATGAATCGGAGTTTCTACCATTTGAATTGGAAACTGTACTGGTAGAATCTCAGATTGTACCAGTAGAGACTCCAGTTGCAATCTCTACTGGTAGAGACTCCAATCGCAATCTCTACTGGTAGTATATCCAATTCTACCAGATTGCAATCTCTACCCTGACATATATACTAAGTGACAGAAATTAAAATGCATTGAACCTTTAGTCAAGGGCATAAGTTGAATTCTTCAATGATCTTGTGTGTATGATTTATGTTGCAGTTACATGAAGTGAAATATGTTTTTTGTGACCTTTCCAGGTAAGAATTCTGTACGTACGAATCTGATGTTGAACACGTCTGAAGAAACTATAAAGGAGTCCTTTGAAACAGCACTGGGAAAGGAAAACATCATTGAGAGAGTAAAGAAGCTCAGGGATTATGCATTTGTTCACTTCAAAGCGAGGGAAGATGCTTTACAGGCAATGAAAATTCTCAATGGTATGTGAACACTATTATTGTCTGCAAATGCTTTCCTGAAACCTGGGGGTATGTTCTTGGTCTTTGGCAAATATATTTGAGCTTGGTTGCCTGAATGGGCCAATTAATGTCATTTATAGAGTTAAAATATTTGAACTTATATATTAAATTATTATATACACATGGAAAATAGTATTGCAACACCCAAGATATTTCATAGTAACAATGGAACTTATCTAAACAACTTAACTTATCTGGTGTTGCCTCTGCCAACTGCAATAACATGATCCCTGACCCTATTCCTGATAGACTGTATCAGACATTGTATTTGATGTTGTGGCATCGTGTTACCTTTGTGATGGAGAGCTTGTTCCAATTAATACATCAAGATTTTGGACTGAAGGTTATCTCTGTCATATTCTGCTACTCATAATGTCCCAAACAAGCTTTACCCATGGCATTGAGATCAGTACATGCATGTTTTGGAAGAGCATTGTTGTCCATGAAGACTGGCTTTGGGTTCAGAGGATGGTCATCGAATGTGGTTAGAACAACCCTGTCTAGGATGTCTGATATGTAAGTTTGTCCATTGAGATTTTGTCTGATCTTCACAAGGTCAAGTTTACAGTCATATCAGTGGCACCCCCACATCATCAGTGAACCCCTGCCAAACGATACTTCTCCCAAGATATTCTGTTGTGCATGTGCAGTATTTCTGCGGCACCAAACACGAGTACGGCCATCAATCTTAAGAAAAAGAAATAAACTTTTGTCCAAAGTCAAATTCCAGTGACAAAGTCGGGCTGCTTTGTGCTCCAAGTATAACAAGGGTCTGATTGGGTGTCTGACCCTTCCCAGCCAATTTTAGGCGATTTTGGACTGTGGTGTTGGACAAATGATGTGGAAGCCAGTCTTTTTGTAACACAGCACGTGACACGAGCATATTAAGTCGAGAAGGGCTGTATCCTTCCTAGGATTGTCACTCATGGCAGACCTGTGTTTGCTGATGTTTCCTCACCAATCAGCTTTTTGTCGATGAATGACAACCAATATCTCTTGCAATAGCCCTCAATGACATGTCAGCATACCTATAACATACCTTCTTTAAGCAGGTGTTAGTTGAGGGGGGCCCCATATTTACTAACCAACAACAATTTATTTTGTAAGTCATTGAGCAATAACAGTTTAAGGAAACTATTATTGCACATGATGCCCACCTTTGCAGCACTTGCATATCTAAAATCAAAGTATGCTGCATCCAAAGGTTCAAAATTATCATACTGACTGATTGAGTTTGGTTTTACACCGCTTTTAGCAATATTCCAGCAACATCACGGTGGGAGACACCAGAAATGGGCTTCAGACATTGTACCCATGTGGGGATTCGAAACCGGGTCTTCGGCGTGACGAGCCAACACTTTAAGCATTAGGCTTCCCCACCGCCCCTAAAATTATCATACAAACAACCATAATTATGATATGATATGAATATAAATGGCTATATGGATACATTATTTAATGTGTGTACGTGTGTAATCATGCCTGCAAAGCAAAAAGGCAGTTGTTTGGACCCAGACTTCAGACTAGTTGCTAAAGTTGCAGACTGTTGCCCTATCTGGTCAATTCAATAACTGGAAATGACTCGCTACAAATGATTCTTTTAATGACCATAAATGTCAATATGAAATATGTCTTGGGAAATTTGAGATGCCTGATGATGGCAATTATGATCTACATCAACCCTAGGTTTAAAGGGACAGATATGGCTAATGGTCTGTTTATCTGAAACTAATTTGGGGTTATTATCCCCCTCAACGCGTTTTGCGGGGGGTATTAAAATGGACTCCGTCCGTCCGTCCGTGTACATTTGTCTTTTCCGGAGCAGAACTCTAAAACCGTTCAATATTTCTTCACCAAACTTGGCACATACATGGATCTTGTGGTGTACTGGTGCCTTTTGGTAGTTTTGGAATTCTGAATTAAATATTTTTGGCGTTTCCATGGCAACAAGTTCGACTTTGACTGAAATTGGTGGTAGTGCTCTTTTCCGGAGCAGAACTCTAAAACCATTCACTATTTCTTCACCAAACTTGGCACATAGATAGATCTGGTGGTGTACTGGTGCCTTTTGGTAGTTTTGGAATTCTGAATAAAATATGTTTGGCGTTTCCATGGCAATAAGTTTCACTTAGCCTGAAATTGTGGTAGTGCTCTTTTCCGGAGCTGAACTCTAAAACTGTTCACTATTTCTTCACCAAACTTGGCACATAGATAGATCTGGTGGTGTACTTGTGCCTTTTGGTAGTTTTGGAATTCTGAATAAAATATTTTTGGCGTTTCCATGGCAACAAGTTCGACTTTGACTGAAATTGGTGGTAGTGCTCTTTTCCGGAGCAGAACTCTAAAACCGTTCACTATTTCTTCACCAAACTTGGCACATAGATAGATCTGGTGGTCTACTGGTGCCTTTTGGTTGTTTTGGAATTCTGAATAAAATATTTTTGGCGTTTCTATGGCAACAAGTTCGACTTAGACTGAAATTGGTGGTTGTAAAACCGTTCACTATTTCTTCACCAAACTTGGCACATAGATAGATCTGGTGGTCTACTGGTGCCTTTTGGTTGTTTTGGAATTCTGAATAAAATATTTTTGGCGTTTCTATGGCAACAAGTTCGACTTAGACTGAAATTGGTGGTTGTGCTCTTTTCCGGAGCAGAACTCTAAAACCATTCAGTATTTCTTCACCAAACTTGGCACATAGATAGATCTGGTGGTGTACTGGTGCCTTTTGGTAGTTTTGGAATTCTGAATAATTTTTTTTTGGTCATTTCCATGGCAACAAGTTTGACTTAGACTGAAATTGGTAATAGTGCTCCTTTCTGGAGCAGAACTTTCAAAACCTTTCAATACTCTCCTTCCACTTTTCTATATACACACCTAAATATTTGACATAATCATACCTCGTAGACATAATCATGAAGAGTTTTTTGCCATTGCGGGGGATATTGATGACTTTGTCTTTTTGTTTTATATAGCCACAAGGTTGAAATGATCTGCAGACTAGTTGAATATGACCCAATGGCGTCTACTCCTGTGTTGATGGTTACTGAGGCAAATGCTGATGGTTACATATACTCAAATTTGTAAACCAGGGCGACTGCTGTGGGGATGCCAACATCAGCATACAGAGGCTTTCATTGTGTGATCACTGTTCTTGTTACATGTATTGCAGGGAGCACACTGGAAGGATCTTTGATTGAGGTGGTACTAGCCAAACCTGTGGACAAAAATGACTACTCAAGGATGATGAGATCTGGCAAACCTGGATATCAACAGGTAAGATACATCCGACTGATACAATAAAACTGTGTGTATAGATAGACATAGCATGGCAAACACCTGTAATGACAATGTTGTTTCTGTTGCTCGTATGAAAGGTATGGACTGTTGGATTTCATAGTTGTTGAAGCATTGGTATTGTATGGTCAAAGATACATGCCTCCTATTCAATTTCTCAGAGTTTTGATTTGAAATGTGAGAGAGTTATCAATGTTATAAGCTGCAGTTAGAAATAGATTTTTCATTTTCGCTTGTAGAGCAGCCATCTACCTTTAGTTAAAGTGGAAAAGTACAAGGAAATGTCACCGGTCTCTCCGGAATCCAATTGGGCTTCAGCAACCCATGCTTGTCGTAAGAGACGACTAACAGGATCAGGTGGTCAGGCTCTCTGACTTGGTTGACACATGCCATTGTATCCCATGCGTAGATCAATGCTCATGCTGTTGATCACTGGATTGTTTGGCCTAGATTCAATTGTTTTCAGACCGCTGCAATATAGCTGGAATATTGCTGAGTGGGGCGTTAGACACCAACCTATCTCCTGAATCCTGCTCGTGTTGAGCCGTATGTCAGAGGACATAAATAGATTTCCCACATGTTATAAAATCTCAGGAGAGGTTCATCAAATCAATGGTCAAAATGTAAACAGTAAATTGAAAGTACGTGATCAGTTTGAAACACTATGGCAGTGAAAGGATGTACAATCAATTTAGTTAGTTATTATAGGTGTCATTAAAAATGTTTGAAAGTATACCAACTAGAATAAGATCTGATATACCAAGCAGCTACTTGTTAAGATCATGAGTGCCTACTGAACAGGCATAGTGTGAACATTGATCCATGAGCCATGACGTTTGGGCTTAACCAAAACAGCCAGGTGTAATAACCTAATTCACTGTTTTTTGTTGACCCATACTTGGTTGGGTGTCCTTGGAACTTGAGGAATTGCATTTATTACCAACACCAGCCTTTACACAGTTATTGCCCTACAACTATTGAGACTGCTATCCCAAAGATGGCTCTCGGTGTTACTTTCAGCAGATTTTAGGTGTTACTATATGAGCTTTTACTTTTACTAGACACAGCTTCAGCAACAACAAAAACACATTATGATAAGATAATTTGGTTAGCTGTCTATTAATGGCCAAGTTACACAACACAATAAGACTAAATTGTCAAAGATTTTAGTTACTGACATGCTGTCCTTTTTTATCATCTCTGAGAAGTGAGAAGTTTTGGCATCACAAAATACTGCATAATTTATTACAATGTCGTTTTTTCTATGTCTCGTTATGCCCTTTCAGGACAGTGAAGTGACAGAGAGTTCATCTTCACAGGTAGTCTCAATATTGGTTACAGATTTTAGCATGTGGCCGTGTGTTCAGTTCAGCATGCAGTTTAGTTTCTATAGTAATTTGCTTGTGTTTCAATGTTTAAAAACAATTTAAACTGTATTCTTAGTGAAGAAGAATTAGTTATTAAGGGATGTTTCCTTCCCAAGTCAGCATGCAGCAATGTTCCATGTATTTGTTGAGAGAGTGGAGAAAGGGGAAACCTTTATTTTCTTTTTGGTTTTTCAGTTCTAGTTTGAAAATTATGACACATTTATGTGTTCTGTTTCCAAAACAATTCAATAGATGTGTGTTTGATTTAATTACATGAAGTTTAGCTTTTCTCCTTCAAGAGTTTATAAGTTGAAAATTCATTTGGTGTGTCCTCTATTGCCACCAACACTTCTTCAAGTTTCAATTCCTTTTGATATGTCAGACACGACTATATTCCTTGGGATATTGTCAACGCCCCGTCCGTCCGTAATTATTTTGTTTCCAGGGCATAAACTAAAAAACGTTGTTTTTTAAAAATTCAACAAAAATTGGTATATATTTCCAGCAGAACCTTAAGTGGTGCCTTTTGCTATTTACATATTTTGGGCATCATTATTTTTCTGGATTTCCATGGAAACAATTTGAACTTAGTCTGAAAAAGGGGTGGATTTCGTTTCCGAGTATAGCTGAACATCTATCAATAAAACTTGGCAGATATATGAGGCAGATCCCAAAGTGGTGCCATTTGCTATTTGCAGATTTTGGGCCAAGTATTTTTTTTATTTTTTTTGGTTTCCATGGAAATGATTCAGAATTAGTCTCAAACAGGACAGGTGGGCTTTGTTTCCGGAGCATAACTCGTAAATCTTTCAATATCTTTCAACAAAACTTAGCAGATATATGAGACAGATCCCAAAGTGGTCCCTTTTGCTATTTGCAGATTTTTGGCATATATATTTTCATGATTTCCATTGAAACGATTTGGACTTAATCTACAAAGATCAAGTTGGACTTTAAGTAACTGTCAGATGATTTGTTCTTTCAAATTTGTGGTGGCCAGGGGGATTTGTCATCTTCTGCTGACTCTTGTTTAGAACTAAACATTATAGTTTAATTTCTTTGGTACATCATTCCTAACTGTACTTATGTAAGTACTGTATAATCATGTAATTGTGATTCTGTTGCAGGTGTATGGTTATTCAGCATATGAGTCACCTTTGGTTGCTCCAGCCTTCTATGGCCAGTTTGTACAGCAAGCTGGAGCAGGGAGGTATGGGTCCCAACTTATGTTACTATAACTGTTTGGAATTTGGGGTTGAATTGGTCCTGACTCCATGGATTGTTGTTCATTATAATGTCCTGACTGGATTATACTTTTGTAGACCATCACATACCTAAAATAACGCTTTGTGTAACATTACACACCAAAGTAACAAAATCTCTTTCAGTATGCTAGAATACAAAACACATTTAGAAGTATCACTCGGCATCTGACATAAATCATCTTTACCAGAGACCACATGAAGACACATCAAGGTTTTTTTTTAGAAAACCTGATAGTCTGACTTGTACTTTAGCCATTGCAACACACTGTAACATCTCTTAAAAATGTTATTTGAAATGTTTGCAGATAAAGATGTTTTAAGGGGTTAATATTGGTACGAGGAAATCATTGTGCAAATCATTCTCAAAACTCGCTTCTGCTGTGGTTGTGGAAAAGTCATAATGAAGTGTTTGTCAATTGATACATTTAACGTATGTTGACAAACCAAACGTAAGCTGTGCCAATCTATTTGCACATGTTGTGACATATCTCCTGTATTTGGCAGAGGCATGCAGAGAGCAGCTGTTGGTGTAAGGGGACAGGTTCGGGGGGCGTGGTCGAGGAGCAGCAGGATCCCGTGGGGCAGGGGGATCCAGGGCCTATGTGCAGGGATATGTACGAGGAGGAATGAGAAGACACCCAGCAGAGGTGAGACATACATTCATCACTTGCCCACTGCTTGCATGTTTGTTGTACTTGCGTTGTTATGTCACAGGTTTCTAGTCATTTCGTGAAGTATATCAGTCATACATTGTACATTTTATGTTAAATGGGAGAACTACTCGTAGTTGGAACTAGGTAGTGCAGTACGTGAATGATTCAATACCTCTTGTTTTTTAGGATTGCAAAGTGTTTCAGACTACATGCTTCCCTCCTACTTTACCAGGCATTGTTTGAAAGTGTTCTTTTTGATGATAGTATCTTGTTATAACTGAAGTCTATATTTCCAACATGAGTATTATGAGTACACCATTACTTTCATTGTTACATTCTGACGCTAATTAATTATTACTACTTTAACACCAGTTTTGATAACTAATTATTTTAAGTTCTGTTTATTTAGAGGCTGTGTTGTTTAGAGTGAGAATTATTTAGAGTTCATATGGACTATTGCTAGGTCTGTAACAGTTGAAGTGTCAAGTTACGATGTCAGGTGTGACAAAGTGCATTCAAGATAATAGTGTATCCTGATACGGTGTATCTTTAAAGCCCTAGCTGTGTTACATGTACTTATGCATGAGTATGCATGCATGCATGCATGTTCTAAATACTTATTGCATGTAAGTGTTGAGCTTCCAAGCCAAATTCTCTGAAGGATTGCTTCTCAATGGTGTATTCTTATGTCAAAATGTTTTCGACACATGATCTTATCAAGTGTACATGTGACTGATGAAGAATGAAGGCTGCACTTCATTCACATCAGTCAATGGCCTGTATTATTATACTACAAAACCTTCAGCCATTTATGAAATATTTGCTTCTTATTCAATTACATTCTTAATCTGTCACAAGTGATTGAATTAACAAACTATCAAGATACTCGTTCACACAGAGTACACACACATGTCCGAGCCTGAGGGAGAATATTTGTGGTCAGCACCATTGTTAAAACCTGTTTTTGCTGTAGGGTCGCCTTTTTGACATCTTGCCTGGCATGGAATTGACTCCCACTAACCCTGTTACACTCAAACCACAATCAGTGAAAACTACAGTTCAGGTATTGTGTTTTCTGATGGTAACGGTTTGAGCCTAGCCTGCAAGCTTTGACGAAACTCCAACTGTCTCTGGCCTGCCTATGGATATAATACTGCTTGCTTCTACAGTTTGGGAAGAACTTGATGACACCTTACTGTGGAAGGGACTTCTTTCTTCACACTGTTGTATGAAGTGTGGCATCACATTCATTCCTGAACTGTAACCAGCTCTCTCCTTTGCTTTGTAGTGCTTGTGCGAGGTGTTTGATGAAAATAGAATCAGTAGGATTAGAATTTTACTATCATTTAACATGAGTGGTGTGGTTTCCCTTTTATGCTAACCATTTAACCATCAATAACTTCTGTACATCTTTTAATGATGATATATGAGTATTCAAAATCAGTTCCACTCAACAAGTTTGAATGTGAACACTTTTAAGAAAGTATTATAAAGTATAACATAATCTATTATGCATAATCTATGTATAAAAACATATAAAACAAAGTCATGCAGTTGGAAGTAGATTGTAGTATGTATTCTTTGATACTGATGTACATTTTCAAAAATACATTTACAAATTTGTATTTATCTTGGACAGCTAGTCAACATTCAGATGGATATGCTTAGAACCCACTTACTGGAAGAGCCCAATTGTTGAATATTTTTAAAATTCTGAAACCCTTAGGTTAACAAGTCATTGCTTCAGAAGTGCAACCGCTTGCATTTCAAAAAGAAGTCAAACAAAATGAAACAATAGATCATAACATAAAGGTCCAAGATGGGTCACATGTCCAGTAAACTGGGTAAACATAATACTTGTTAGAATCTTATTACCCCGTACTGTTAGTGTTACAGACTAGGGGAAATTAGTTCCTTTTGTAAGATCAGCCGCCGTAGACAGGTGGATGGGCTCATGAACATAAACAAACTCTGGCATAAGTATGGGTCAGTTGATTGGAGTCTAATGTCCTGGTTGGCAAGATGTTGAAAGCAATTATGGTATTAACAAACTATTTTAGTATTAGACGGTTTTTAAGATGCAAATTTTTTTTAGTTTGTTAAAGAAAAGATATTTGATAGTTTCTAATGTATATACTCATTATAATTATTCTCAGCAGGTCTTTTTGTCTCCAATTCTGTTGCTTCAATTTCCATTTTCTTGGCACAGTAACATAGAAGAGTAGCTGTGGTCTTTTCTTCTTGGTGTTGGTAGAACATTCATATTTGTAATGGGTTTTTTTGTAATATTTTCTAAGATAAGTATAAATAACAGAAAATAATGTGCATGTTATTCAATCAGAATTTAGACACAACTTTCACACTATGTAACCAGAGGATATATTGAAGACAACTGTTTAACTGTTGTTGTTTTTTGATAATTTAACCTTTTCATCAATATACGATATAGTTTTTTAGAGATGTCACCAACATAATGTTAAACCAGTATAGAAAATACATTAGGCCAGACCAATTTTATTTCTTGTTTTACGGATTTTTGTCCTCAGAAAACCTAAAGGCAGGAGGGAAAAAATAAAAAATAAGAATACCAGTCAAAGTAATATTCCTTTTAAATGCTAAAAGTATTTCATTTTTGGCAATTTATGAAGTGTATATACAAACAAAATTGTTGTAATTTACATTTTTGGCCAATAAAAACATGGGGATTTATTTTTTAAGCAGGGAAAATGAATATATTTTTTTTCTCTCTTATTCTTCAAACAATACGACCAGCAGATCCGTAAAACAAGAAATAAAATTGGTCTGGCCTTAAAGCTGCAATACAAAGTTTTTCTAGTCATATATTTTATATACCATTCAGTCCTATAACATATGACATATTTATTTGTTGGAATGAGAAATACTGGTAATACTGAAATTGAAAGAAATGTCTGTTCTTGAAACATGTCTAAACCATCTCCCAAAAGCTACTTGAGGTTCTAGTTACAGGTACATCTGTGTCATTTAAAGTTGTTTGCCAGATCATTTACACAGCTGATATATTGTACTTGACTTGGTAGGTACAATCATTGAACCTATCACTGTTTCAGATTCTGGAAGAACTATGTCAGAAGAATGGCTGGGGAAGCCCACTTTATCAGCTCCACTCCACTGGAGGTGGTGGCGGTGACATGCAACTCTTCCTATTCAAGGTATTTACTACTGTCACAAGAAGACATAATGATGTTCAAATTTGGGTTGGTTAGATGTTTTTGCTCACAGAATTCTGATCCATCTGTAGAAGAGTTTTTGTTAAGGAATAGGTTGTTCAGAAAGAATACACACAGTGTTTAACTGTACCTTGTTTCTTTAGAAATGATAAAAACTTAGGTTGTAGACAATTTCACTTCTAATGGTTAACCTTCTTATTTTTTTACCCATAATCATTGTTATGTGAATTACTAGGGCCAGACAAGTCTGACAGGACATGAAATTATGTATGTATCTCGTTAATATAGATAATTTTTACCACGTTCTGTGATGTAAAGTTTTCGAAGAAATGTTTGTTTCAGATACTAGTTCAGCTGAGTTAGCTAAAATTTATGATCACTTCAGTAATATGTAAGCAGTGAGGCAGATGGTATTATCGAAGAATCAAAACATTTTATTATGGAAACAAATTATTCATCCAACAGGTGACCATCCCCGCTCTAGCATCACAGAACCCTGCTCCCTTCCAGCCCAACAAGCTGTGCAGAACAGTTGAAGAGGCCAAGTCATTTGCTGCAGAGTTTGTCCTCCTTCAACTTGGAGTCAATGTGGAGAGTAAGTGACACGACAACTAGTGATAGTTCATATGTATTTATAATAACTGCTTTGTCTGTATGAAATTTATCTTTACATGAGTACAGCAGTTTTATTCTTTTGAGTGGAGAGGAAAAGATATATTGCTGTATCGAAGCTATTAACCAAATGCATGTCTTTTAAAAAAAGAAAACTAGTCCCAGATACCATGTACTATGATGTATATCCCGAGTCATAACTTGAAGCGACATACTTTAGCACTTATTACATGGTACTGACAGGCTAGGACACACTGCAGGTTATAGTTGTACTCTGTATGCTTGTCATCTGTGCTTTTGCGCTGTTCAGCAGTGATAAATGTGCTCTGGAAACATGATCACTGCCGCTTTAGTAACTGTTTCTTCATAGATTCCATGATTTATTTTCATTGGTCGCCATTTAATTCATTGAATGTAATGTTCTATCTTTGTAATGAATTAATAGACCGACTACCTTCACTGAATACTGAATTACAGCGAAGCAAAAACAAAAGCTCCACATGCAGAGAGAGATGTTTGTTAAATCTTTTGTTGGTCATACGACTCTTTATGTGGATGACATATTTTTAGGTTAAAAATGCAAATGACTATGACCAAACTAAGAAACATGTGATGAGTAGAGTAATGAGTTTTGTGCTTCTCATTTTCTTTTAGATCGTCCATTCTCTTCTACTCATAATACAATGATTGGCTGTGGTTTCACTCATATGTATATACATGTCACTCTGGTACCAAGCAGCATGACTTAAACATTCTATGACAAGAAGCATGACCTAAACATTCTATGACGATTCTTTTTTTTCCTATGTCAATGTATATATCAAGCACTAAATGCATTTAACATGTCAAAAATGGTTTTAATACTTTCCTGTATGCTATGTTAAAGTTGTTTTTGAACTGTGTACATATATCTTATAACATATTGTAATCTGAAGTTTTACTGGATAATTCTACAGTATTAGGTTTGCCATTTCTTTCGAAGTCTGAAGTGCTGCTTCCAAATTTGACATGTTGTGCCTTCTTATTTACTGATCACCACTATATATCTTTAGTTTTGCTTATATTTACTAGCTGTAGTGCTAACTTTACATTTTATGTAGTTTTTCTCTTGATTTTGCTGAGCTGAAGTGTGCTAGAGCTTTGTCTATCTGTCTGTCTAGGTGCTGAACTAACTACTGCTCCTGCAAGTCCCTATCAAGGCAGACCTATTTATCCAAACAGTGCCCGTGATATGCAATCATATGCATCTGCAATGCCTATAGCTACAAGTGCCTCTTATGTTGTAGCACCAGGAAAGGTCATTCAAAGTAAGCCAAGTCACATCCTTCCATGCCTTTGATCAAAGAAGATAATGGATGCCATATAGTTCCACTTGCCTGCACATCTCATTTGTTTTGTAGCTTTGTGCTTGATATAATTTACCTTTATACAAAATGTATTTGGTGTAAATGATTTCCAATATTGATCAGACATTTTGTCAACAGTTACTCTGAAATGAGTAATTGTTGTACATATGAACATGTATATATTTTAAGCAGATCAGTTCTTCACCCATATGTTCGTACTAGTCTACTGTGGCTTACTATTATTGGTGTAGCATTTTTTAAGGTCTTTGACAACCTATACATCACAATATTTATAATTAACAAGGGGCCACTCCGGGGGACCATGAGGTTGTCTTTTGTTGTATTTATCTTGGATTTATCACTTTCAACATTATGGATTTCACAAGGGCCTCTTGCAGTGTTCGAAAAGACTCCTTGTCACAACTATAATGTTAAAGCCAGGATTTAGGACGTCTCTACCACAGGAGGACACCTTAAGGACTCGAGGATTTGTCATTATTTCAATCACTGCTGTGACTTTCTGCTTAATATTAAACATTGCGTCACCTTGCCACAGTGTATGACACTGCTGTTGTCTGTTTCAGACCCCGATTACCCAGGGACATATGAATATCCTGCTAGCTATGCTGCTCCACCCCCTTCCACCGCTGCAGTCTACACACACCAGTACTAAGGGACAAGAGTTGCATACAACCTGATTATACATTCCACTATTTAATTAGAGTAGCATCATTATATTCCATAGTTGGAAACCGTTAAGACTTATTTATTTGGAATATTCTGGCTCTACTCTCAGCTTTATCAATTTTATCGGTCTTTTTGAGTGTTGATGTTCTTTGCTTGAGTGTGTCTATCTCAGTATATGCAGTATATGTACTATTCTAGGTTTGAAACACTAGTCTTGAGAAGTGTTCATTGGTACTGGACTAACCAGGAAGTGTATTTATCATGTTCATATCATCTTACATTGTTATGTCATTTGATGGTATAGTTTTGTAGCAAGCCCTACACAATCTTTAGTTGTGATTATGATAAATCTGTTTTTAAAGTAGACACAGCATCAGCTGTCGCTGTAGTGTTTCTGATTGCTCTGATCTGAGAGATTTGCATGTGCCATAACGAGTAGTTAGGATTTGACATGTTTAAATGTTCTTAACATAGACTCCTTATATTCCTCAAAGGATAATGCTTCACTATATAAAGATCAAATTGTTTTTAAAATATTTGGTAGCTATGATGATTACTGATGAAATTTCTACCCATTAAGTTGTTTTGTAGTATTAAAGCATGTGCAACAAGTTCTAAACCGGCATTGAAAACGCAAAGCCTGGGAACTGATTGCACTTGTAAGTAGTGTGTTTCACAAATAATTACTGAGATATTGTGTAAGGGTTGCTACAAGCTTATACAAGATACATCAGGGATTGATCTGCATCTTGATAGATGCAGCCTTTCAAGATGAAACATTCTAGGTCGAACGTTGCAGGTTATCGGACAAGGCAGCCGTGTTTGCAAGTATTTGTTGTTCCGTTCAGTATCTTCAACTGTTTGTTTACAAGTTATGGTCATGTTTTTTACAACGTACACTCAAAGTGTTCATAAAACAGATGTATCAATAACTTCAATTTCACAATGTATGCCCTACGGTGGGTGGTGATTTTGAAGCCAAGCTTCACAGATAATCCTTCAAATTTGGAATTCCACTTAGTGCTAAATATATGTATGAAGCAAAGAAGGCTTCTCTATGCATTCGATGTTGTTAGATATGCATGTATTGTAGACAACAATTTGAAAGATTGAAACAGAACTGAACTTGTTCTTGGACATATCAACTCAACTATAGAGCCATGATGATGGCAGTCTTTTGCTGTCCAATGTGCCAGATCACAGCTCTCTTTCAATGTCTCATATTTTGCCTAACACCCATGACGAGAAGTTCTCAAACTTTTTTGTTTGAATTTAAGGCAGTATTTTTCAAGTTTTATTTATATATGGCAAAAAGGCTTTGTTTTATGGATAAATGAATACAATATCAAGACTAAATTACCAACCACAATTGACTAGATTGGTGGTGATTTTTATGATTTTCGTAGGTTTAGAGTGAAGTTTTTAGTTTAGTTCTTTTGAACACATGTATCTGTTATTTGTTTCTCTACCATTTATTTGCAAACTATTTGCAAACTTGTTTTGACACAAAGTGTTATGTGTATTTCAGTACAGGACGAACACTTCGGCCATTCCTGTTAAAGTAAAATTACCTTTTTAAAAGTGTTTTACTACATGGTGCTGTAATCATTTGAAGTCTATTACCACTCCACCAGAAGGAAAACTACTTGGATTGTATAGCCAGATTCATGGTCCAGTCTTGCTTGATCAGTAAATTCTTTGTTGTAACATCACTGATATTGATGTGGAAACCTGCAGTGAACAAAAAGCATGCCCAACCCAGAATAATAGAAACATCAGACCACAAACTGAAAGGAAAACAGGTGGCATCCTAATTATCAAGTGTAATATTATCCATCTTATTATGAATCCCTGGACACATTTGTCACCATAGCTCTAATCAAGTCAGTTTCGAATAATATAGTGTCAGAAATATCATGCTCGCCTTTCATGGCTGAAACAAGTGGCAATATTACACCTATTGGTGTAAATATAGACAAACTGTTCTTTTTATTGGCTGATGTATGAAAGTCCGACCGGGTTAAATTTCCAGGGTGCTGTTGTACAAGGCATTCCATTCCATAACATAGACTTATTACAGTCTTAACATTAATGTGTTTTGTACAACGGCAATCAGATACATAATTAGTGATGTTACTTAGCATTTACAACACCGTAAAGGTGATAAGGTTTGCTGCTACTGTTAGCCATTTACATAAACACCTGGGTCTAGATTTTCAAAGCTGTCTTAGCTCTAAGATAGTCATAAGTTAATGTTAATGTATGGCACTTACGATTATCTTAGCACTAAGAGAGCCTCGAAAATCTGGGCCCTGACATAGTTCCATGAAAGCATGTTAATTCAAAGTGAGTTTCTCTCTCTACTCCCTGTGTCTGCTAAGCATTCTCCCATGTGCCAAAACAGCATGCAGCAGGGATCGGTGGATGGTTAGTGCTAAAACTTGAAACAATTTGGGGGTCTTCCATTTATTCAAATTGAAGGATAATCAAAGGATAGTATGATGGTCATGTAGGTGCATAAATGAATTTGATTTATTAATACCTATATGTTCCATTCTAACAGTCAATCATGGTAAATACCAATCTTACCAGATCTCAAATTAGTGTATTACAATACCATTTCTCAATATATCTCTTTATCCATAAATAGGGGTTTAAACCAAATATTATAATACAAATTAGAACAGTGCTGCTTCAAAGAATTTCACAGTGGACAAATAATGAATTGTTGACAGATGTTGATAAAGAAATATTTTGATGCCAGATTAACAGTAATGATTGATGACTTAAAAATTGGTCATTAGTCTATTGTTAAGATCAGCAATTTTAAATCTTTGAAAAATTTGTTTTCTCTTTTTGTCCTGTTTTAAAGCAATCATATTTTGATCAGGAACCATGTTGAAGTAGATTCGTGTGAAGCACATCTTTTAACTAAACACAAAATGATGTGCAAGTTCTCGTTCAGTGTAGTAAAATAAATTATATGCAAGGTAGAAAGGTATATCAAGCATGATTGCCGGCATGAGGCAACACACAACTGTTCTTATGAGATTTGGAACAAGCATAATCTAGCAGTTCTATCAAAAAAAGTCTAGTCAGTTGATGTCCTAAGTGAATAGAGCTATCATTTTCTTTGTGTCTAAGCAGGGGACACCCACTTATTAGATATTGAAGAAAGTGATGGCAAACTGTTCAATCTTGATACATAACAAAGATAATTTACTTTGTATTTTTCTTTGCCATTACACTCACTTGCCTGTACTAACATTTTAAATGGTGTTTTTAGAGACAAATGATACATGTCCCAATAATTACTGATTTCAATATTATCAAACAAATAATGACAGTTCTTATTAACATATGTGTTTATATCAAAGTGCATAGGTATATCACTGCGGATATTGTTACTTTCCAAGTATATCCTTGAAGCAAATAAATACAATTTTTACCAACATTCCACTGAATCAGAATTTAAAATTTTATTTTATGGATGGATGTTTTAAGTGTTTCTGTACTCTGTTCAAAGAGAAAGGGTTTGTTAATAAGAAGATGACTTTTGTTGGTACTGGCAAGTATCTCTCTGGTAGAGTTGTTTGCTCAAGTTCAATCTTGCCAAATATTTTATGTTTCGTTATATTTGTGAAGGGCACTGCAAACTTGGCACAGAATTAGGCAACATCAGAATGTCATAGAATCATTTTATCAGAATCATACATTTAACCATCTTGGTATCTTAATTGGTGACGGTTTTATTTTGAGTTCATAAATTATATGCTTAATTGCTTCTAGATTTTTAGCTTCTGTTAGTTAGAATTGTACTGATTCAGTATTTTATTGATATTTGCTTACAGTAAAAATATTCTACTTTCTGGGGAATAATAAGACGTGAATAATCAGTGCTATGTGTGTTACATGTGTGTACACCTTTTCTATGTAACTATGAGGAAAATGTTGACAAAGTTTTAATTGAATTGAGACTGTTCACATGTCAATAAGGCATTCTATGCGACATTATTTTCCCCCAGAAAGTAGCCAGTTCTTTGTTCCAGGTGCTGTTGAAGGAATATCAAAGAACATGTATTCAAGTGTTCAGCTAGTCTTGCATTGTGTCCCTATATGGTATTTATGCATATCACATAACTCTTGTTTTCTTCCTTTTACTGCAACTTTGGGTCTCAAGTTTCCATATTACCGAAAGAGAATTTATGTCCAAAGAAACTCAGGTTTTTGTACCTTTATATTTATATGTCTGAGGATGGCATATTCTGTGATATTTTACAACATATCTCAGTATCTGAGGTGTACATGTTTTCAGATTTGTCACTTGATTGCAATTCAAATTCAGATGTTAAAAAACTGACCCATTGCAGTAAAAATATATCATTTGCTTTAATCTTGACTGATTGGTAATCACATAAAGGAATATCTCAATATTGAGATCAGCAATGGCCTCGTGCATGAGATTAGCAACATATTTATCTGTCTAGATATTTTTTCTTAAATGAAACAGAATTACTGTTTTCATATGACATGCAGTTTTTGTGTTCCGAAGATAAAACTCTGACACAGAACAAACACAAAGGTGTATAGATAACCAGAAAAGATAATTGCCATGTGTTAAACAGGGCTAGATATCCACAGACATGACTTGAATGGTAAACATGGTGGTCTCTTGAAATATCACCAGTGATTCCTGAATTATACTAGGCTCAGACTGACAGACTTGTGTTTAATTCAAACCCTGCTAAAGTAACACAAATACATTTCACTGGCTAAATGATTTAGCTGCTTAAACAGATTATGACTATTATTTCATCTACAATGAAGAATGATCATTGACATTGTGTCAATGTACAAACAGAAATCAGACAAGTAACCATGGCAACTCTTAGACCCCATATATAGCAAGTACATTAGAACAAAGTTTTTAAGAGAAATGAGCTCACATATAAATAGGATTCATGGAACTCAAAATTTTGAAATCACTTGTGAAGAAATAGACAGTAATAGTAGTGAACCACTTTCTTGTCTTTAGAAGCTTTTCCAGTAACTACTATCCTGTATAGTGAAGTGTCCCATTGCTGATCTGAATTTTGAGATATGAAAATGTCTCTATTGAGACCTGAGAATGGATCTTCCACTGAGAGAATGGTTTGACGAGATCATGTACGCTGGGCTGTTCCTGGACGTGAGCATTGGCTCACTAGTTCAAATGACTAACTGGCATGATGTGTGATTAAGACCAGTCAACATTATGTATCTTGCTATATTTACATGCACTATTACCTAGAGTGTTAGATCCAAAGTTACAAGTTCAGATGTAACAATCAGAGCTTATCAATAAAATCTTATCTTAACAATGAGCGTGTGATTATTATTGCTGAGTAGCATGGGTTGGTTGATGAAGTGGGACACATAACACCACTTTTAATGTATCATTGGTTAATATCTATTACACATAAAAGTTCAGTATCATAGTGAATAATTATCAGAGGGATATTTTGTAAAATGTGAACACAAAACATAAAAATTACCTATAAAGTATTCATGATACCTGGTTACAAATTTGATTTCAGTATGGTCTCAGTATGGTCTGAATAAGCACCCCATTTGTGAAGAGCCCTTTTTCAGGATAGTCAGATGAACAGATTCATTGTAGGGGCAAAAAATTAACCATGAAAGAGTCAGCTTTGAAACACAACCGTCCTCTATTGTGTCCTGAAATCAAAAGAGGACTCTGAAAATATCCTTTTAATGCCATGGGGAAGAGTTGTTATCTTGTAAATCTCATGAAAAGTAGCAATATTTTAACAGTGAAACCAACCCCAATTGCATTCATGATGTAGGCTTTCACTACATCATGTTTCTGGTGCCTGCCCAGCTAATTGCTTCTTAAGTCCAACCCAAATACAGGTGCATGATCATAATCCACACATTCCATTAAACTTGAATGGGCATATTATTGTAAAATGTTGCTATTTTCTGATACTTAGTAAAAGGAAAATTCACTGAAAACCTGAAAGTGATTAGGATAAAATTAGGTGCAGAATGCGTTTACTTTTCAATCCAATCCTCTTCAACCTTACTAATTTTGTGTTTTTTTATGTTGAGATGGCTTGTTTTAGGGCTTCACAAAAACTGCTTTCTCAGCTATTTTTTGCAGTCCTACATGGCAGTTGCTTTGAAAACACGTGGCAAATCATGACCAGGCGTGTTGAGAGCCAAATGTGCCTGAAATATCTGTCTCTCCAGGGCCAAGAAAGCTGTCACCAACAAAATTTATCAGTTGCGTGTCCTAGATACCAGTCCAGAAATTCTGAATTGATTATCGACAAAGTCATGTGGGAAGAGTCCCAGGTAGGCTAAGGGCTCTTATCTTGACCGTATTTTTAGCTTGCATGGAGAGTTAAATATTAGAACAGTCCAACAGTCTTGGTTAAGACTGGCACATGTGAATGAGCCAGGTAAACCTCAAGCATACATCAATTCCTAATCTTGGCTAATTTTGACCTGCACATTCCATATTGAGTTTGTATTCACCATGGTGGAGGTGTTATCTGTGAATCAGTCAGTCTGTCCCACAGTTGGCCAGGTACATTGCCGGTAGTCCTCTCTCTCCAGATCAACCAATCACATTACCTTTACCATGCTACAGCCCTTGAGGTCCATACAACAAGCCCTATAAACATATTACCCTTGTAAATTATATGGCCTGAAATAAACACTCCATTTTGCAATAGGTCTCTGTTAACTGACTAGCAAATATTTGCAGAAAGAGGTGTGACAATATAAATCCCGGATTGGGTGTCTCAGAAAAGCAAAGTCGACCGCCAGGCTTAGATTAGGGATGGGAGAGCTAGAATCTGACCTGTGACCTCTAAAGCATTTGTCAGTCTTCTTTAAATCAATAGAAAGCATGGAGTCATGTGTTTGTACACTGCATTACCTTACAGATCAAACATGGATATATTTTCAACAACAAGAAATTCAAGAATCAGCAAATATATGCATTATAGAAACAAATAATAATTTGAATTTTGAAGGGTTTTAAGTGGACATATCTGGCAAGACAATCAGTGTCCTACTATAACATCTTAGTAAATGAAGTTATATGTAGACTGATGGGGCATTTATTCATTGAAAAACAATATCTACAAATATGTTTTACAAACATTTTTATTATTCATGTGTTACAACTCCTTTTATGTCATATACAAACAACAATGCTGTTTCATAGGGCTGACCTTTACTGATCTAACCTGAGATAACTCCATGGTGCTAGGTGCAAACTCCCAGGGTCACCCTTGTCTGAAGATAAGAGCAACAGTCTGTCTGTATGCAATATGGCCGCCTCTAGTCTTTAATGGGCAAAGTGACCAGTTTCACCCACACAAATGAGATAAGAAAGATATCCTTAGAAATAAACCTCTTACCCTTCATGAATATAATGGGAAACAATCAGCGGGGCAACAGTGTTTTACCTTCATGATTCTATTCTATTTGGTTTGTTGCCTCAATATCAGTTTGAATTAATTTTTAACCTGTTAAATTAACCTTGGATTTAAGGTTAGAAGTGATCACAGCAACCTCGCTTGTTTTAAGAGGTGAATGAATACCAGGCAGGTGATGCTCGGTGAGTTCATTGTGTGTCTTTATACATCCTTGTCTGAGTAACAAAGACATGATATATATATATATATCACTTTTAGCTTGATAATGATGAAAGGATCTACATCAAAACGTGGCTCTATGCAATAAATAAGAAGTTGTCATCTATAAAGTTGTATGTTTCATCATATGTGTGATAACATGTTTGTAAGAATACGAAGGATAAAACAGACTTCAGCAGAGTTCAAGTACCTGAAACATGCTCATTATGTAATTCAACTGAGTGAACAAATCATTCGTTAGATAACACAGTTAGTTCCCTTTACTTGTTGAAAACAGTATTTCCTTACTAATAAAACTGTCACCTATATTTCACTTGAGGATGTTGACATCAGTTGTTACCTGTATAAGAATACGTGACACCAATATATTCTATCAAGCTGTCAATATGCACTAAAATGTGAAAACTCTTGTCCTCACGTATCACTTAGCTGGTGAGTGAAATATATAGTTGGCTCGTTCACTCAGATCATACTGGGGTTCAGGTAGTAGGGCTAGATCATTGGTTTGTCTGGTTCAGACTCAAATATTCTTGGGCTATTAAGTAATTAAGTGTTAAACACCAAACAAGGAACTAATGGTTACACAATCTAATCATTCCAAGGTTTGAGTGGTTCGGCTAGACAAGTCTATCGCTCAATCAGATCAAACTGAAGATTGGGCAATCATTCTAGGCTGAGTCATCGCTCTATCAGATCATACTGAAGATCATGTGGTAAGGCTAGGCGAATCTATCGCTTGATAAGATCATACTGGAGATCATGTGGTTAGTCTAGAAGAGTCTATCACTCGATCAGATCATACTGAAGATCATGTGGTAAGGCTAGGTTAGTCTATCGCTCGATCAGATCATACTGAAAATCAGGTGGTCAGGCTAGGCAAGTATATCACTCGATCAGATCATACTGAAGATTGGGTGGTTAGACTAGACGAGTCATCGCTCGATCAGATCATACTTGAAGATCGGTAGGTCAGGTTAGGCTGAGTCTATCGATGGATCAGATCATACTGAAGATCATGTGGTGAGGCTAGGTTAGATTATCGCTCGATCAGATCATACTGAAGATCGGGTGGTCAGGCTAGGCGAGTCTATCATTCGATCAGATCATACTGAAGATCTGGTAGTCAGATCATATCAGATTATACTAAAATTGGATGACTGTTACTCAGATCATACTGAGGATAGGGTCATTACTGATGGGTGTTTGACAGCAAACTTTTAGCTTTTAGCACACACAGAAAGGACATTGCTACCAATGATTTTAAATGAAGAGAAAGTTCAAAATTTCTGGCTTAGGTGTGGTACAGTAGCTCCTGAACAGGTGTAGGTGTTGAATTGCCTCAGTGTTTCATGTGCAAACGTATCTGATTTGCCTGAAGTGACATTGACCTGAGACACTGCGAACAGTTGCATTCTTGGCACGAGACTGGCACTGTCACCAATGCATGTAGTGTCAGATGTGCATGTTGCAGCCATGCAAAATGACCTGTCGAAAATATTTAATCAGGTCAAGCATATGTTACGCCCACCTTGAGTCTCTTGACATCTTAAAGAAATCTTAGTTCACCTGTAATCATTACTGATTTGACCTTCACCTTGTGACCAGTAATGGAGGCCCTTGTAACTATAGTTGTAATATGCTGTAATAATGATTTGAAAAATTCCACAAATTTGTCCTTGGCCCGAAAGAGGTCTGTACAACATGTTGAATTACGGTACTGATAACAAAGACTCAGAAACAGGGTCTAGATTTATATGAGGCTATTTAAGCTTGGCTTATCAGAAACACTCCCACTGCGTGACAACATGTTGCAACACCGTGGGCATAGTGCTTCATGACATAACACAGATGAATTGGACATGTGTAATAATTGCAGGCATGTTGTACTGGTTCATCTATATACCATAAGTCCTGAGATGATTTAAAATGTACCGATAATTAAAAAGTAGCATTTATTATTTTTTATTCATTTTTCTTTTTATCTTTATTTTAACAATAAGCTAGACCATCTCTTCTTTTGCCTTAAGGTGCCATGGACGTAAGTTTTACATTATAAAGAAATCTAAAAAATTCGGTTATGGAAATCTTTTTTTTCAATATAAAAATAATGGACTTTTGTTTTTTAGAAATTGACCTGAAATTGACCCTCGCAATAATCAATGTTTCCTCCATTTTATCAAATATAATTTGGAGAATATGAAAGCTAGGAACTTGCGCAACTTGCTTTAAATATCATTACCTACTGAATTATGCATTCACCATCTTAAACAAAATATCCAATTACAAAACCCACACACTATTTATGAAATGAAATACAATCTCTAAATCCATGCTAGCATGATGAATAATCCGTATCAGGCCGAGATACACTTGGCATGGGTCATCTGAGTGCTTGTACTTTGTTCGCGGCCTCATGGTTTTATCCGGGAGTGACAATCTAGACCGGGTTGTGATTCAGGGTATCGGACAACTACCTACCTACTCCATGATACAGAAGTATGATCTGGCAAGTGGGCACCAAGTCATGCTGTCACTCCCTAGATAACCAGTGAACTCGTTGACAGATTGATGGATGAAATGTACTCATAGTCAGATGTTGTGCAACGTGAATCCAGTTTCTAATACCTTAATTCCAAGGGGATTGTGAAATAGAACAGATCTCTACTACCCAAAACTTATCATAAGAGGTGAGGTGAAAGTGGGTTTAACGTCGTGCATAAGAATATTTCGCTCATATGACGACGTGCATGCGTGTGTATGTGTATGTGCGGCTGCTTGTACTAGCCCAGACTGAAGCTGGTTTTATAGTGCTAGCCCACTGAGATACCACGCCGCAGTGAAGCATGAATACCCCACTCAGACACATTATACTGACTCCGAACCAACGAGTCCTTGTTGTACCCATTAATGCCGAGTGCAAGGCAGGGACGAACAAGTACCATATTTTAACGTCTTTTGGTATGACGCGGTCGGGGATCGAACCCCGACCTTCCGCTCTCCGGGCGGACGCTCTAACCACTACACCACGGAGGCGGTCTCACTTATCATAAGAACTTATTAATGAAGGTTGAGTGGTTTCATTGTGATGATGTGGGTGATTGTTAATTCTAAAAGCACTGCTATATCTGGTCCAGACTTGACAATCTACAGGTAACTTTCACACAGCTGTCAGTAAGTGTGGAGTTAAAGACAAACAGAATACAGTCAAGTGCATCAAACAGTTCAAAATTGCTTATTTGATGAGTATGAGTTAAGTGAGTGAATATGATTTTATGCAGTTTTTAGCAGTATTCCAGGCATGGAAATGGGCTTCACACTTAATACCCCAGGGGTATTTGCACCTGGGACTATAGCATGACAAGCAAGTGGTTTAACCATTAGGCTATCCCATCACCAACCTCAGGTGTATATGATGGGTTTAAGGCTTTATCCCACCAGAAGGGAGACTATGAGCTCAATGACGCAAGATGAGTGGGCTTTGTTTGATGCCAGTTTAAAAGGTATTCAGTGAGTGAGTTTAGTTTTACGCCACTTTTAGTAATATTCCAGCAATATCACGGCAGGGGGACACCAGAAATGGGCTTCACACATTGTACCCATGTGGGAAATCGAACCCAAACCTTCGGCATGACGAATATACTGTTGAACCACTAGGCTAGCCCACCGACCCTTCAGAGGTATTCAGTTGGTTGGTTGGTTTATTGTTGAACACTGCACTCATCAATATTCCAGCTATATAGCGACAGTCTGGTAATAACGGAGTTTGGACCAGACAGTCCAGTGATCAACATCATGAGCATCGACCTATGCAACTGGGATACAATGACATGTATCAACCAAGTCAGCAAGCCTGACCACCCAATCCCGTTAGTCCCGCCAATGACAAGCATTCACCACACTGCACAATATTCCATCTGAATGGCATTGATCTGTCAGTAAATAAGCTTGGTGCAGACAATCCAGTGATGGATGCTACGAGCAACTCCCCATACTGTCGTGGTGCAATGACATGAAAATCAGGTTCTGTAACTGCAAAGAGTGTAGGACTGACTGAGTTTGGTTTTACGCCGCTATTAGCAATATTCCAGCAATATCACGGCAGGGGAAACCAGAAATGGGCTTCACTCATTGTACCCATGTGGGGATTCGAACCCGGGTCTTCGGCGTGACGAGCCAACGCTTTAACCACTAGACTACCCCACCGCCCCCAAAGAGTGTAGGATGATACGTTAATGGAACTAATCTACTTTGTAGTACTAAATACTTGGAGATGTGAATTTAAATTCGGAACTTATGTGTAATATGTGTTTAACTTCTTTGTGCCAACTGTTGAAATGTTTTGTTGTAGATTCCAGACACATTATATACTTCCATACCAACTCATTATTACTTTCGCGAACACCTGGTATCATCACTATTTAATAGTGATTCATAAACACATGCTCTGTCATTTTATCGAATGGTGACAATCACTGGATTGTCTGGTTCGGACGGATTTGTTTACAAACAACATCATACAGTTATAATACTGCTGAAACAACTATCTGCTCATGATATGGTCACAATTGTACAATCTGCTTTTGGCAGAGATTTCTTATGAATGTGGAAAGGGTTTTGTCGCTTCTATTCAATATTCTGCAGAATTTCTGTGTTCCTGGAGCTCACTATTCAGCATCATCTGGGAGTTTCGGTACCAGATCAGCACCGAGATGACTTTGTGGTGGTGGTGGTAGTGGAATTGGGTTTAACGTCGTGCTTGAGAATATTTCGCTCATATGACCACGTGCATGCGTGTGTATGTGTATGTGCGGCTGCTTGTACTAGCCCAGACTGAAGCTGGTTTTATAGTGCTAGCCCACTGTGATACCATGCCGCAGTGAAGCATGAATACCCCACTCAGACACATTATACTGACTCCGAGCCGACCAGTCCTTGTTGTACCCATTAATGCCGAGCGCCAGGCAGGGACCAACAAGTACCATATTTTAACGTCTTTTGGTATGACACAGACGGGGATTGAACCCACGACCTTCCGCACTCTGGGCGGACGCTCTAACCACTACACCACGGAGGTGGTCGACGACTTTGTGATAGTGTGGACAGAGCTGATGACCAGATTGACAGTATGGAAGTCCTGTCACAATTCATTCGTGCATTCAGTAAATCGTATCCCTTCATGAATTTAATTCATTGTTTGTGCACTGGAACTGAATATTTACAAATATGTTTAAGAGAGTGTTTTCACATCAAACTAGTTTATTGTTTATCTAAGTGAGATATGCAAAATGAAAGACATCCGAGACATGCAAAAGCGTAACTTGTGTTTTTTGGAGGTGGACCCCAAATAGTGAGTTTAGTTTTACACCACACTCAGCAATATTCCAACTATATGGTGGCGGTCTGTAAATAATCGAGTCTGGACCAGTCCAAAGAAGGAAAACAGCAAACAGTTAGTTTCAATGATTTAACCTGATGCTACTTACAAGTCAATCAACACGATATATACACAGGTCAGATCGTGACTGACAAGTGTGTGACTTGGGTTAATGCTGCCTTGAACACTGCTACATTATGCATGTTAGTTTAATGTGGAAGGAAAGCTCCACATGATCAGGTCACAGGTCTCCGACATACACCAATTTGGGGAAACCACAAATATGGTGCTAACAAACCTAGAAACACGCATTAGCCAGGATCCAAACCCACACTCATAGCTTTCTGGTATGTAGAAGGATGGGTGGGTGAGTTGCATTTTAGGCCGCTTTTAGCAATATTTCAGCAATATCACGACGGAAGACACCAGAAATGGGCTTCACACATTGTACCTGTGTAAGGAATAGAACCTGGGAATTCGGGATGACAACGCTTTAACCACTGGGCTATCACTCCGCCCAGAATGTGTTTTTGAAATACACAACCCTTGGAGGTTGTAGATTTCAGGTATAAATGTCAATATCATCTCAAATACTGACGTTGTCACATGTCACTCAGCTGTCATAGGAATCACTGCTGTGGCGATGCTTTTCCTTTTTTTGGCTTGACTTCTCTCTTTTCTGAAACATACAACCCAGTTATGACAAATAGGCTTCACATGTAGTGTGGACTGAGTGAGTTTAGTTGTACACCTTTGAGCAATATTCCAGCAATATCACGGTAGGGGACACCAGTAATTAGTTTCACACCTTGTGCCTATGAGGGGAACCGAACTCAGCTCATTCGGCGTGATGGACGCCTTAACCACTGGGCTACCCAACCGCCCCTGGAATTTACATGTAGTGTAGAAGTAATCAAGTCAACATGTAGAACCGTAAATATACTAGACTGACACTCCAGAATACAAAGGGTGATGGATGGTTATACAGTCAAACACCATTATGTTCAAGTTGAAGGAACCTACATAAATACTTTCAGTTATCTAAGGGTCAATGGAAACTTAAAATGACAACAAAATAAGGTTAATGTATATGTTTTAACTGTATATGTGATACACTACACATCAATGTTTGAGACAACCGAGTTTAACTGTACCCGGTATATGTGATATACTACACATCAATGTTTGACACAACTGAGTTTAACTGTATATGTGATATACTACACATCAATGTTTGAGACAACCGAGTTTACCAGTATTTGTGATATACTACACATCAATGTTTGACACAACCGAGTTAACTGTATATGTGATATACTACACATCAATGTTTGACACAACCGTGTTTAACTGTATATGTGATATACTACACATCAATGTTTGACACAACCAAGTTTACCAGTAAATGTGATATACTACACATCAATGTTTGACACAACCGAGTTTAACTGTATATGTGATATACTACACATCAATGTTTGACACAACCGAGTTTACCAGTATTTGTGATATACTACACATCAATGTTTGACACAACCGAGTTTAACTGTATATGTGATATACTACACATCAATGTTTGACACAACTGAGTTTACCTGTATATGTGATATACTACACATCAATGTTTGACACAACTGAGTTTACCTGTATATGTGATATACTACACATCAATGTTTGACACAACCGAGTTTACCTGTATATGCGATATACTACACATCAATGTTTGACACAACCGAGTTTAACTGTATATGTGATATACTACACATCAATGTTTGACACAACCGAGTTTAACTGTATATGTGATATACTTGAAAACTAAGGATATTTACAGAATATTTACAGTATAATCTTTGTAATGGGCATCACTACAACTCTGAATCTGGAATAATTCAATCATGGGGAGAATACTATGGAATAAATCAGTCTAGAGGTGAATACACTGGAATAATTCAGTCTATGGGAGAATACACTAGAATAATTCAGTCTATGGGAGAATGCACTGGAATATTTCAGTCTATGGGAGAATACACTGGAATAATTCAGTCTATGGGAGGATACACTAGAATAATTCAGTCTAGGGAGAACACACTGGAATATTTCAGTCTATGGGAGAATACACTGGAATAATTCAGTCTATGGGAGAATACACTGAATAATTCAGAGAACACACTGGAATAATTCAGTCTATGGGAGAATACACTGGAATAATTCAGTCTAGAAGAATACACTAGAATAATTCAGTCTAGGGAGAATGCACTAGAATAATTCAGTCTATGGGACAATACACTAATAATTCAGTCTAGGGAGAATACACAGTCTAGAATAATTCAGTCTAGGGAGAAATACACTGAATAGAATACACTAGAATAATTCAGTCTATGGGAGAATGCACTGGAATAATTCAGTCTATGGGAGAATACACTAGAATAATTCAGTCTAGGGGAGAATGCACTAGAATAATTCAGTCTATGGGAGGATACACTGGAATAATTCAGTCTAGGGAGAACACACTGGAATAATTCAGTCTATGGGAGAATGCACTAGAATAATTCAGTCTAGGGGAGAATGCACTAGAATAATTCAGTCTATGGGAGGATACACTGGAATAATTCAGTCTATGGGAGAATACACTAGAATAATTCAGTCTATGGGAGGATACACTGGAATAATTCAGTCTATGGGAGAATACACTGGAATAATTCAGTCTATGGGAGAATACACTAGAATAATTCAGTCTATGGGAGAACACACTGGAATAATTCAGTCTATGGGAGAATACACTGGAATAATTCAGTCTATGGGAGAATACACTGGAATAATTCAGTCTATGGGAGGATACACTGGAATAATTCAGTCTATGGGAGAATACACTGGAATAATTCAGTCTATGGGAGAATACACTGGAATAATTCAGTCTATGGGAGAATACACTGGAATAATTCAGTCTATGGGAGAATACACTGGAATAATTCAGTCTATGGGAGAATACACTGGAATAATTCAGTCTATGGGAGGATACACTGGAATAATTCAGTCTATGGAGGATACACTGGAATAATCAGTCTATGGGAGAATACACTGGAATAATTCAGTCTATGGGAGAATACACTGGAATAATTCAGTCTATGGGAGAATACACTGGAATAATTCAGTCTATGGGAGAATACACTGGAATAATTCAGTCTATGGGAGGAATACACTGGAATAATTCAGTCTATGGGAGGATACACTGGAATAATTCAGTCTATGGGAGATATACACTGGAATAATTCAGTCTATGGGAGAATACACTGGAATAATTCAGTCTATGGGAGAATACACTGGAATAATTCAGTCTATGGGAGAATACACTGGAATAATTCAGTCTATGGGAGAATACACTATGGGAATAATTCAGTCTATGGGAGAATACACTGGAATAATTCAGTCTATGGGAGAATACACTGGAATAATTCAGTCTATGGGAGAATACACTGGAATAATTCAGTCTATGGGAGAATACACTGGAATAATTCAGTCTATGGGAGGATACACTGGAATAATTCAGTCTATGGGAGGATACACTGGAATAATTCAGTCTATGGGAGAATACACTGGAATAATTCAGTCTATGGGAGAATACACTGGAATAATTCAGTCTATGGGAGGATACACTGGAATAATTCAGTCTATGGGAGAATACACTGGAATAATTCAGTCTATGGGAGGATACACACTGGAATAATTCAGTCTATGGGAGGATACACTGGAATAATTCAGTCTGGAAGAATACACTGTAATTCAGTCTATGGGAGAATGCACTAGAATAATTCAGTCTATGGGAGAATACACTGGAATAATTCAGTCTATGGGAGAATACACTAGAATAATTCAGTCTATGGGAGAATGCACTAGAATAATTCAGTCTAGGGGAGAATGCACTGGAATAATTCAGTCTATGGGAGAATATACTAGAATAATTCAGTCTATGGGAGAATACACTAGAATAATTCAGTCTAGGGGAGAATGCACTGGAAAAATTGCATACACTGGAATGTTTCAATGCCTATGAACATAAATCTCATACACATACAACATACCTTTGAACCTCTGTCGCTTTCGTCAGAGGAGGAGGAAGAGTGTCTGTGCTTCTTCTTCTTTTGGTTTTTTTTCTCTTTTTTATGTTTCCTTTCCTGAAAAACAATGTTGCTCAAAATTACAAAACAGTGGACGCAGGATACCCTCTCTCAGACAATGAGCAACTGACAGCTGACTGACAACTCAGTCATCTGTCCGTTAACAAATACTTCACAGATAATCTTGATTTCTTGTCAACATGCTCAAAGATATCAATATTTCATCAAGCCAGCAGTAAAATTGTTTGAAAAGTTAAAATAAAAGATACAAATTCATGAACAATAAGTCTGGGAAGAGTTTAAATTAATTACTCAGGCACATCCCTTTCAACCCTACCCTGGTACAAGCTACAGGGCCGGTAAGTCTCACAAGGCACTACTTCCGGTACTAAGCTAGTTCCCAGCTCCCTTTCGCGCACGCCAATTTGCGATATGCGAGAAGGGCACAGCTTACTTCCAGTATCAGATTTCCGGTGACACACGTATATTTAAGAACCAGTTCTGGTTCCAAATTGTGCGGCCGCCAAATATGAATTACTAGACCGGACCAAGTGTTCGTTGTTTGTCACCGGTCTCGCAATGTGCCGTAACCTACTTACGGGCCCTATTAATCCAAAGAGTTAGGTTAAAATTTCCAATTGGGAATTGTTTTACTGAAGACCTGGAAAAACCTATCATAATACATTTAGGAAATGATCTGGTTACAATGTTACATATGGAAGGAAGGAATGCATGCACAGTCTGAAAGACATGCAAACATTAGGGACCATTCATAATTTATGGCTAAAGGGGGTGATGATGATTTTTATGGAGAAGCATGTACAATGTGAATGATCCCCCTGCATGTCATGTACATAATAAATGACTCCTGAGCCCCCTTCCAAAAATTTCAAGCATACTTTTTTATTATTATTATCCACAAAATTGCTGACCCCCCCTACTATATGCGGACAAAAATGGGTGATCCCCCCCACCTCCCCAGAACAAAATGGGTAACCCTCCCCCCCAATGATCACCACCACCCCAGCCATCAGATATGAACGGTCCCTTAGTGACATGTACCGTAACCATGGAGCTTTAGTTGATTCTTGTCATTAAACAATACATCACATGACTAACACGGGTCCAGGTAGTCCTGTGGGTCCTATTCAGGATCCAGCCAACATGGATTAAAGTTGGCCAGGCCTGGGACCTCTACTACACAGACCCTCACAAACATTACCATGATTCATCTCAAGTAAACTGTCACGCAAGACAACAGCATAGAGCAAAGTAAGGATTTATTTGTCAGATTAAATTGACATAAAAGGCATTTTCAAGCAACTGTAGCAACATGAATACAGGTTTTAAATCCTTTTTGTCTTACATCATACACTATTTCTTAACCACTCTGAGAGTATTGCCCTTACATAGTGAATCTGATAGTGTTTGGACAGACAAAGTGAGTGAGTGAGTTTGGTTATACGTCGCTTTCAGTAATATTTCAGCAATATCACAGCGTGGGAAACCAGGACTGGACTTTACCCATTGTGCCCATGTGGGGAATCGAACGCAGGTCTTCGGTATGATGAGCGAATGCTTTAACCACTAGGCTACCCCACTGCCCCAGACAGACAAAGAGAGCAGCAGCCTGTTCAGTTAGGAATTACACCAAGTCACATCCCTCTTCCGCTGATGTCAGTGTCTCCCCCTCAATATTGTGGTAAACTTTCTAACTAATGTCATGCATGTCAGAGTTCAAAATAAAGCTAATACTGAACAACTGGCTCTATATCAAGAGTTTATTTCCTCCATTTTATCCTTCTTTCTCTCCCTCACCTTTTTCTTCTTCTTCTTCTTTTCTGCAGACTGGGCTGTGGTTGGGGAGTCTGGTACATACTTGTCCAAATCTGGGATCAGGTCATACTGCTTACCTCCCCTTTCTCCATAGCATTCCTTGGACAGGTGCCCTGAAGGGTGTATACAAAACTTGTTGACATGGTGACAGTGGACACTATTTGATAAGAGCCTCTTGGGCAACTGCAGCAAAATGTCAAAGTTGCTGACACTTACACATCTGGGCCTAGATTTCAGAAGCTCTCTTAACGCTAAGATAGTCGTAAGTGCCATTCATTAGCATTGACTTACGACTATCTTAGCGCTAAGAGAGCTTCGAAAATTTAGGCCCTGGAATACATATGGGTGATAATAATTTGATAACAACTCAATTTGGCAAAGAAGACAATGGACTAGAACCTTTACTGAAAGATTTCGTGAAAACATGACCACTACGTTCATTGTTGTAGCAATACAGTTTGGCCCTGATAGTATACAGATCCTGATAGCATGGATGTGTTGTATGATACAGTACTTTCATTTCAGAAGTTGATACCCTTCCTTTCTGTATGTGAATCACAGCCTTAATTCATTTGTCTTTAAATTTCAGAGACCAAAAATGGGATATTGTTGATCAGGGACATAATGATTATATGTTACTGGTTACTGTGATTGTTTTATTATTTACGGATAGCTTTCCTGGAAGGAAGGAATGAATGAATGGATGGATGGATGGATGGATGGATGGATGGATGGATGGATGGATGGATGGATGGATGGATGGATGGATGGATGGATGGATGGATGGATGGATGGATGGATGGATGGATGAATGAATGAATGAACGAATGACAGTGTCCCCTACCACGAGTCCCACATCTGGCACACTTTGTGTCATATACGGCTCCCAGTTCAATCTTCGGCCGTTCAGAGGAGAAGCCCTGCTTCCGCCTCCGGTCTTCCATACTGAAACCAGCAGCCAACATTTATGTCACGATTTGTTTGTTTGTTTGTTGTCCAATGCAGTCTAAGTAAACTTAGGCCCAGTATTATTCGTTACACTGCTATACTGAGTCTATCAAAACCTTGAGGAAGGTCGCGTCAGGTAACCTTTGAGCGGCCTATGACAGTCCAATCAAATGCGAGACGACAGAACAGATTTAACCAATCAGACAACGGCTACTATTTAGGGTTTCGACGGGACTTACAAAATGGATTTACTCTTCCCCGGTCGCCAACACTGATCTCACAACAAATGAAAACCCACATAAAACACACTCCAGATATATGACCTGCTGAATATACGCTTTTGGGTTTCTGTTGACATGGTTATCATTAGCTAAAGTGCCTCAGTGCATAGGCAATTATATTCAGTTCTGCACTCAATTCCAACAATTTGCACACATAATGAAGTCCACAGAGGAACATTACCATGGTTACTGTGGCCACAGACAAATCTCTTGTACACTTTAACCAACCCTGTCAGGGCAAAGACATGAGACTCACCTGCCCTGCACGTTGTTGGAGTCCAGGTCTTGCCCTGTTGTCTGATTGACATATTTCATGGACAAACCGATCTTCTGATGCTCCCCCTGGAACAAAATACATCATTAGTCTTCTTATTGAGGAAAATGGGATCCTAACTATTCAAAGGGAGGTAACCCTGTGTACAGTCTAGTGGCAGGCAGTGTCTTTTCAGGCTTCAGGCCAAATCTTGATCCTAATAACTTCAGTGCTGCACCCTGACATCCAATAAAATAATGTCAGTATTTTTCAAAAGCAACCCCATTTCTGGTGTCCCCTGCTGTGATATTGCAGGAATATTGCAAAAAGTGGCGTAAAACCATACTCACTCAAAAGCAACCCAGACTAATATGATCAATTGATCTACAAGACTTTTATCTCATAAAAAGTGTCTGTACATGCTCTTGAGACCCAGGGCCTAGATTTTCGAAGCTCTCTTAGCGCTAAGATAGTCGTAAGTTAATGTTAATGTATGGCACTTATGACTTTGTAAGCACTAAGAGAGCTTCAAAAATCTAGGCCCACAGTCCTACTTTTACCTGCATTTGTCATCTCCAACAGAAATACATCATTATAATGCCGTCTATCCACAATATCAGGGTTTTAATTGGCTCTGACGGACAACTGATCATCATTAGAAACCCTGTATAAATATCCCTATGAGTATGCCACACCTTCCATTCTATTAAGAAGATTACTTCTGAACTTTCGCACATAAACATGGGTGTACTGCTTCAGTGTGTGTTGCCTTTACTCTGTTACCTCAATACTGATGACTTTACAATATACACGCTCCCTCAACGACACCATCTCTGATGGATCTTCCACCCTGGCTTTTGACATCTGAGACTTGTGGACAAGGCCTTGAACAGAACAAATGTTGGAATGAGGAGATCAGCTGAGACACATTTTACACAGAGATAAAACTGGATGCACTCTTGTGTGCATTACAAACTAAACTATGAAACAGTTGCCCACATCATTCTGAGGTGCTCAAAACTTGCTGAAACAAGGGCATTTACTGACTGACTGACTGACTGAGTTTAGTTTTACGCCGCTTTTAGCAATATTCCAGCAATATCACGGCAGGGGACACCAGAAATTGGCTTAACACATTGTGCCCATGAGGGGAATCGAACCCGGATCCTTTACCACTAGGCTACCCCACCGCCCCGGACATTTACTAACATTACAATGAAAGAAGTCTTTATGGGAGAGTTTGCTGAACATTAATCTTTTATTTCCATTTTCAAGGGAGACTTGTGGTGTGTGGGCAGAGTTGCCTATGTTCATATGTTAGAATCTAAGATTTTCAGATATAATGATCTTTTGCTTAAACTGGCAGGAGTGTACCCAGTACTCATGTACATGGATTTCACAGTCAAGTAACAAACATGTCAGTGCCCTAATATTTCAGGAGACACTAAACCAAAATACTATCCTTCACCTTGTTTTCTGCATCCTGGTATTTTCACAAAGACTCCATAGTTCTGTACTGATGCAATCTGGAAAGAACAAGCCAGATTTTATGGTCAGTTAGGAGACTGGTTTGGTTGGTTGGTTGACTAAAGCCGCACTCCACAATATTCCAGCTATATGGTGGCGTTCTGTGATAACTGAGTCTGGACCAGACAATACAGTGATCAACCAAGTTGATGTGCCTGACCACCCGATCCCTAAAGTCGCCTCTTATGAGGTGGGGTGAAATTGGGTTTAACGTTGTGCTTGAGAATATTTCACTCATATGACGACGTGCATGCATGTGTATGTGTATGTGCGGCTGCTTGTACTAGCCCAGACGTAAGCTGGTTTTATAGTGCTAGCCCACTGAGATACTATGCCGCAGTGAAGCAGGAATACCCCACTCAGACACATTATACTGAATCCAAGCCGACCAGTCCTTGATGTACCTATTAATGCCGAGCGCCAGGCAGGGACCAACAAGTACCATATTTTAACGTCTTTTGTTGGTATGACCGGTCGGGGATCCAACCCACGACCTTCCGCTCTCCGGGCGGACACTCTAACCACTACACCACGGAGGCGGTCCGCCTCTTATGACAAGTCAGGACATAAAAATGCTGTATTTTCAATATAGGGTAAGGTCATCAGTATATTTTACTGTGCTGAACAGAATTAGAACTTGTACATGTATTACACTGAGTTTATCAAGATGCACTTTAGTGCTTACTACAATCAACACAAACTAAAATGAGTTAATTAGCATCCCAAGTTATTGTAATTATGGAACAGTTCTGTTTTTTTATGGAGTTGACTAAACAGACGAAAAAGCAGTAACCGGTAAATAGAATACATACACCGTCCAATTATGGATTCAGTTTAGCACGGCTATATTGATAGGTGGCTCTTGGGAGAGCGGAAGGTCGCGGGTTCGATCCCAGACCACGTCATACCAAAAGACGTTAAAATATGGTACTTGTTGGTCCCTGCCTGGCGCTCGGAATTAATTGGTACAACAAGGACTGGTTGGCTCGGAGTCAGTATACTGTGTCTGAGTGGGGTATTCATGCTTCACTGCGGCATGGTATCTCAGTGGGCTAGCACTATAAAACCAGCTTCAGTCTGGGCTAGTTCAAGCAGCCGCACATACACATACAGACGCATGCACGTCGTCATATGAGCGAAATATTCTCAAGCACAACGTTAAACCCAATTTCACCTCACCTTACCTTCTACCTTGACTAAATAAAATGAAAACTGATTGGTGATAGCAAAGATATTGAGGAAACCTATGTTTTGAGTGATTTGTTGATTAAAATAACAATGACAATAGCCCATACTCAAAGTATGGTGCTGTGTGTTCAAAAGAAGTATTTTTAACATCGTTATGGTAAGACTTCCGTTGACTTCTTTTAACGATGAGGAAAGATTTATTTGAGTGGCATTTTTAGAAGTTTGGTATGTCTTTCAGATGTTGAGATACAGTCAAAGAAACATGTTAAAACTCATCCTTGTTCAGATGAGGAATATATATTCAAGTGGTATGATTGGACTAGAATGAAATTTAAGGGGGGATACGGGCGGAAGTCTTTCATGCTCATTGTTGTCCACAAACATGAAATACATTCTCCTTGTTGATATTGATTGTGTTGATATTGATTGTGTTTTCTGCCTGAACTGTCATTCCAAAATATTGTAAATAATCTGGACTGGAAGAATATGTCATAATAATGTGTACCCATGGTTAGCAAATGGTAAGTCGAATACCACTTGGTTAAAGGACACTTTGGGCCAAGAATCGTAATGCTAGGTCTTAAAGTTTTCTACTCATCAAATTCTATTTGTGTCTATACAGTAAACCCGAGTCCCCGGAGTAGATTAACAATGCAACCTCTCCATGAAATATGCTGTGGAGAGCAGGCACGTCCCCGCCATCGTCGTCTCTATGTCGCTTGTACTGGTGATCACGTTCATCGTCGTCTCTATGTCGCTTGTACTGGTGATCACGGTCATCGTCGTAATCATGGCCACGTTTAGCCATATCGTCATCTAGTTTCTACACGTGAGCAACTACATAAACAAAAACTCCACCATCTTGGCTAATTACCAAGGGGCATAACTCTGGACTCTACTTTCGGCTGAGATTTTACGATTATCGAAATGGAAATAGTTTTACCTCACTTTCGTTTATCAAACCAGCAGGGGTCCGCTTTGAAAAAGCTCTTTGCAGCGAAAGACGTATCATTTTGTTCCCAACAGAACGCCACAACGTTGCACAGAGTGTAATCCGTCAAAAGCAGGCATATCTAATGAAGTGCAGTAAAATGTACGCTTCACAGACGAAATACACCATGATCATTATTACAAGAATAGTCAGCGGCCATATGTTCTCTGGTATTTAATTATTCATTTTTGTAGGAATTAAAATTCCTTTCAGTCTAAATATAAACGGACAAAAGAATATGGCAGAGTGATAATTCTAGTAAATGCTATAACTATAAAGGCAGGGTGATAATTCTAGTGAATGCTATAACTATACACATATGGCAATGTGATAATATTATAAGACGCCTGGTCCACCATTTGATAATTTATACGATGTCGGATTAGGGATTCAGGAAGGTTGTCAGTACGTTCTGACTGTTCTGGCATCATTAATCAGAATAGACTCCAGTAATAGATTTGTAATAGAGGAAACAGGGTGCTCCCGAAGATATTTTTCTTACTCGCCGTGGTCAAGATAAGCAACAACTTGAACAGATCCCGCGCTGTCGTTTTCACTTTCAGCTATGAAAGCGAAGATAAATGATGCTGGAGGTTTTACAAATAATCATACATATGCTAATGAGATGACGCTTCAAGTACATATTCGTTATATGAGAATTAACGTGCTATTTTCCCGTTCTATACTCAGATATTCTTAAGATGTCTTTTAAAAGTATTATCATCAAGGAGGGTTGTGTTGTCAGATGTCTCCAATTGTTAGTCGTGCATGTAAGCATAACCGATCATAAGACCGGTGTTCAATGGTTTTATGATACCTTTGTAACCGACCTAATGGGGCTCTTGGAAACAAAGACACGATGCGGCCCTGCAGTCATCCTAGAGTCCAACTCACCAGGAGCCTTATGACGTTGGATTCTGAAACAAACGTATTTTCAGTGTCTAATCCAATGTATCATTATCCAAACATGTCTGCTCAAATATCGAAATTCTTCAGCTTAAAATCCTACATGAAGGTTCCACGGTTAAGGCATATAAACATGAAAATGAAACCAGAATGAAAAATGACAACATATTGTAATTAGTGCATCGAACATGTAGATTCTCTAGTGCTGTTTTCTGTCAATTGTGTCATTATCCTAAACAAAGCAACAATAATCAACTGGTGATAAGATCAAATCATTATCGTCTTGCAACGAATTACAACTCGGAAAAGCTGTTGTGCCCTATTACCTGCATTATAAATAAATGTTAAAAACCGTTTCAATTATACATTGGCGGAATATTTGTGAAGTCATAAACCTTTCCACATCCATTCCTGGTGAGAGACATTCCGCTGTTGAAGGAACAACATCCCGCTGTTGAAGGAACAACATCCCGCTGTTGAAAGAAAGATGACTGGGTTGCTTCTTCTAACAGAAAAATTTTCGTCTTCCACTCAATCCTCTTTCTCCTTCCTCTGTGCCCCCCTTCGTCTGTAATGGTTCATTCAAGTGCCACTATAATAGTTTAAAGTTTTGTTTTAAACATATTTTATTCATACGAAAAGGATTGAGTACAAGTTATACAACTAAGAACACCATCTTTGTAGTATTTACATAATATATACATTCATTATACAAGATGGATAGACAAGAACAGAAACATGGGAAACAGTGGAACAATTGCAATAATTAAAAATCTGTTTGGTTGACAAATATATGTTTGAACTATTTTAAGCATGTTTTGATTTATGCGAACAGTCACATCTGCATTGCCATGTAATAGTAACTCATAGGTTATATTGATATTGGTAACACTGCGTAAATTAGTCATCATGGTAGTTCTCTGTACAGTATATAATTGACACTCAAATAGGTAATGATAAGAATGTTCACAAACATTTCCGCAAGAACAACTTGGGTTATATTTTATACCAGCACGGAATAGATCATTATTCAATTGACTACACATGTAACGTAGTTTTGTAAGGATATCAGCGTTTTCGGTCCAAAATCAAAGTATTGAGGAGCAGTTTTATGTTTTATAACAATATTAGAGTTAAAAGAATTCAATGACACGCTTTTTCATACTTCAAGTGGAAATTCATTCCATATTCTTATTGTGGATGGAAAATACGAATAATGCGAAAATTATAATCGTGAGAAAGGAAGTGAAACATCATCAGTTACGAAGATTATGTACATGTAGTTACTTTTAGGTGCTACGTTCCCGGTAACAAGATTATTAAGGTACGATGGTGCCATATTATTCTGTATTTTGTAAAAAAACACAAAGTTTGCTCTTTCTCTTACTTTCTGCTATAGTTTCCCAACAAGTTTCATAATACAGATATTCATGTGAAGTATCTTGTTTGAGTGGCACTTTGGAAGTTGGGACGTAACAATATTGAACAAACTTCATGGATAACACTTCCTTCTTGACAACGGTACAAGAATCTGTATCGAGACGTCGCACTCACGGAATGCTTGACAACGGTAAAAGAATCTGTATCGAGACGTCGCACTCACGGAATGCCTGACAACGGTACAAGAATCTGTATCGAGACGTCGCACTCACGGAATGCTTGACAACGGTACAAGAATCTGTATCGAGACGTCGCACTCACGGAATGCTTGACAACGGTACAAGAATCTGTATCGAGACGTCGCACTCACGGAATAGAGAAGTTGTTATCCATAAAGTCTGTTCAATACATGATGAGTATATTTAGGTAAACCTGTTACAATTCTTGCTGCTTCTAATTGCATACTTCACACGCATATTCGAAATGGGGTCTTATGAACATTACACAAATTCTATTCAATACAGAGCGTGGTAATAAAAGTATGAGTTTACGAAGAGAAGATATCATTTTTGAAGGTATATTTACAATATTATCGGTATGGTCAGATCATTTACAATCGTTTGAAAATGTTAATCACAAATGTTTATGATTATTACCTGTTTTGACACGAACCCTGTTAAAGTAGAGATTAAGTGCCTCACATTGCAAGGAGAAAATACTTGCCTCAGTTTTATCAGGATTATATGTTATAAGGCAACGCTTAGTTTAAAGTTTTATTCACTAATCACGTTATATATCCAGCGTAATACGTTTCGTTTCGCTTTGGTTTTGATTGCCAAAACTTTGTATTGCCTGACTGAGTTTTGGTTTTACGCCGCTTTTAGCAATATTCCAGCAACATCACGGCGGGGGACACCAGAAATGCCAAAACTTTGTAAAAATCTAAATTAGTATGGTTTCAATTTCAAGCATTTGGGTTTGCGATGAACATAGAAAGACTTGGGATACTGACGTCGAAAGCTGTCACCACCTTTAGACGAAGAACATCTAAGCCAATGATTCGTATCAAGATATCTGGTAGTAAACTTGCATTTCACACCTCGAATTTCTGTTAACGAGTATTAAAATAATATAATCACTCCTAATGCACACCCGAATAAAAGCTTTGGGCCACAACACCTGGTTATCTGTTACATCTGTTATCTGAAGCGTGTTGGTTACTGAAACAAAGAATGGAAACACCGGGCAATATTTAGTGTGACTGTAGCCTCTCAGCTAGTTTGTCTCTCAGTCCCTGAACCACATTATTTTCCCTACTGCCTTGCCCTCCCTGCAATGCTAAAGCCCTAAATGAAGCAAGTCTAGATTTCCCCAACTCACTGGGGCTCCGTTTCAATTAAATGGGTTTATTTGATACTATCAAAATTATACATATTCAGGTACTAAGCGTTAGTCTACCTCTCAGCTGGTGTCTGTGGACAACTGTAACATCCAAATCAGGATATCATTATTTAATCTTTAATGCATACTAATTTCTTTTTGTATGGGCGGGCGGTCGTGTAGCCTAGTGGTTAAAGCGTTCGCTTGTCACGCTGAAGACCCGGGTTCGATTCCCCACATGGGTACAATGTGTTAAGCCCATATCTGGTGTCCCCCGCCGTGATATTGCTGGAATATTTCTAAAAGCGGCGTAAAACTGAACTCACTCACTGTGTGAACTGTTGTGCAATGAATTTCTTTAGCGAAAGTTAACAATTCGAAAAGTAGATAACAGTTATGATATTCCTGACATTATGTCTCTTATTATAGCAAATCATTATCATGCAAGTGCTTGCGTTTTGTTTACATAAAAAAAACAGTAATTGACCCCACCACTAGGGCAACTTTTTCACCCCTGCACTGTCTCAAATTTAACAGGCCTTCCATTCCGCCCCGGTAGAAGAGTGAGTGAGTGAGTTTAATTTTAAATGCAAGCTTAACGAAATTTGACTTTGTGAAACATGATTTCATAAATGGTTAATTAATTATTACTATTTCTGTTTCTGAATAGTGTCTGATGTTGTATAAATATTAATGGTAATTCGATTATTGAATTGAATATGGCACAGTGTAAAGTATGGAATGGATTTTTGAAGGGAGTTCGGATTGAGAATAATTGGAATCAACTCATCCTGTACTGAACTAACCTCACTGACCCAGTGTTGTGCCGACTTTCAAACTTAAATTACATTGAATGTTTGCTGACAGCTAGTTTGACACTTTCGCTCCCACTCTCAGTTCCTTACAGTCGTCAACCTGAGGTTGGAGTGAGTAAGTGAGTGAGTTTAGGTTTACACCGCTTTTAGCAATATTCCAGCAACATCACGGCGGGGGGCACCAGAAATGGGCTTCACACATTGTACCCATGTGAGGATTCGAACCGGGGTCTTCTGCGTGACGAGCCAACGCTTTAACCACTAGGTTACCCCACCACCCAGGAATGGAACATGAAGAAGGGGGGATGTATATATATATATATATACTGAATGAAGGGGGGATGTATATATTTATTCCCAAATAGGAAGGAAAGTGGTTAAGTTCTACAAAGACTTTCTTGAGG